TAGAAGCAGCATAAGGCTGAGAAGTTACTTATTTCATTTTTGTGTAGTAAATGATCTGAACAAGCCTTGAAAATGAAATTATAATGTTAATGCATCTTCAACTACCAACGAGCTCTATCCGATAGTTTACAAGTATTATACCAGAAAAAGTCAGATTTTATAATCATGTATAGCCTGAAATATTTGGAACGATTATAATCTGAGCCATATCCAACTGAAGTTGTTCAATTCTTAACACACACATATTTATAACATAACCTGTAAAAATTTTTACTCGTCCAGAGTCATGTAATTCGAATGTAACTTTACCAGTTGAAACATAATCTGATGTGGGCACGTTCTGAACAGGCTCAGAAGCTATGTTTGCTGATCTTGGGCATTTCTCATATGCAGCCATTCAGGTCGTCCTGCCATCCTTTTTTTTTTTTTTGGGTTCTTTGGTTGCAGATGCTTGTTATATAAACCTGGGAAAAGTCAGATTACATTCTAAAGAGTTTTTTTAACAAGTTGTGCTGTGCAGACTGCATTCACCTTTCTGGTATATCCTGCCCTTATATTGGCATATATGGGTCAAGCTGCCTACTTGTCATATCATCATCATCCCAGTCACGAGATCAGTTTCTATGTCTCAGTTCCAGGTATTCCATGTTCATGCTCATTTTATTAAGGCAATCATATTAGTATCTTAGCATAACAATCCAAAGAAAGCTACTAGAACAGTTAGATGGAATGTTGTTTTGCAACATCCGGGACGTTGGTTTTGCTTAATTATTTCCTCAACAGCGTCTGGTCGTCCTAGCTTATTACAATAGTATACTCCATAAAAATGTAACACTGATTTTTCCCCTCTTGTTGCAGATAAGGTGAGGTGGCCAGTGCTTGTCTTGGCCATTTTAGCTTCTGTTGTGGGAAGCCAAGCAATCATCAGTGGAACGTTTTCCATCATAAACCAGAGCCAGTCGCTTGGTTGCTTCCCAAGAGTGAAGGTTGTTCATACATCTGACAAGATACATGGTCAGATCTACATACCCGAAATCAATTGGATCCTAATGATCCTGTGCATTGCGGTGACCATTGGATTCAGGGATACAAAACACATGGGAAATGCATCTGGTGAGTTCTTATGCCTGTTTTGATTACCTGTACCAGTATTTCCACCTTGCCTATGCTTTTATTATGTATTAGTGTGAGTATTGGAATGGATACAATACAACTACTTACTTGTTGCAGGACTAGCAGTGATGACTGTGATGCTAGTGACGACATGCCTGACCTCATTGGTGATTATAGTTTGTTGGCATAAACCACCTATCATAGCCCTCTGCTTCCTGCTGTTTTTTGGTTCTGTTGAGCTGTTATATTTCTCGGCTTCACTGACAAAGTTCCGGGAGGGCGCATGGCTTCCTATCCTCCTTGCCCTCTTCCTTATGACCATAATGCTGGTTTGGCACTATGCAACCATCAAGAAATATGAATTTGACCTCCACAACAAGGTTTCCCTTGAATGGCTGTTAGCCTTAGGTCCGAGCTTGGGAATTGCTCGTGTGCCAGGAATAGGCCTAGTGTTCACTGATCTGACATCTGGCATCCCGGCTAACTTCTCCCGCTTTGTCACCAACCTCCCTGCGTTCCACCGCATCCTAGTCTTTGTATGCATAAAATCAGTTCCAGTCCCTCATGTCCCTTCTGCAGAAAGGTACCTTGTTGGCCGGGTAGGGCCTGCCAATCATAGGTCCTACAGGTGCATAGTCAGATATGGATACCGTGATGTTCATCAGGATGTTGACTCCTTTGAATCTGAACTAGTACAAAAGCTGGCTGATTTCATCCGCTATGATTGGTACCGATCAAGAGTATCTAACATAAGCACTGAGGATGATGCTTCAAACTCCAACGAATCAGCAAGTCACAGATTAACAGTGATAGGAACAATTGGATTCTCTGGGATTCCACCTTATGAGGTTGAGGACACAGTTCAGCCAGCAAGCGTATCAGTGGGGTTCCCAACTGTAGAAAGTGTGGCAGACGTCATAGAGATGGAACCAATGGGTGTGGCTCAGAGAAGAGTAAGGTTTGCCATTGATGATGATGAGAACGAGACAAAGAGTGAGATGGGGGTGGAAATGCAAGAAGAGCTCGAAGATTTGTATGCTGCTCAGCAAGCAGGGACAGCATTTGTATTAGGCCATTCTCATGTGAGGGCAAAGCAAGGATCATCTCTGATAAAGAGAATGGCTGTTAACTATGGCTACAATTTCCTGAGAAGAAACTGTAGAGGGCCGGACGTGGCGCTTAAGGTTCCACCAGTGTCTCTCTTGGAGGTTGGGATGGTTTATGTGGTTTAGGCTCGCGCATGTTATGTAATTAGACTCATTTTTGTTTTTCTTTTTTCGGGTAATATAAATTTGTATAACTAATACAGGCTTCAAATGCCAAGCATTATGTAGTCAATGAGGCTCTGATACTATTTCTATGTTTTTTTTTTTGGGTATTAGATTATTATGATTTCATTACTTTCTTTTATTTTCATTTCCCGAATTATTTTGATATAAATATTTTTTTTTTTATCTTTCACCCAACCGACGCATTCATTATACTCATGCAAGTTTGATGTGTAAATTACAAAAATAGTCAAATCAAATTATTCGCCTAAACCAAGAAATTGGGAATTTCATTTTGATCTTGAGCATTTTAAAAAGGGAAAATGACACTTAAACTTGAAAATCTTAAAATGCTCACTTCAATTTGTAAAATCCCAATTTAGGTATAAGTGACTAATTTGAGATTTGTAAATTTACTAAAATGACCATGTTGCCCTTTATTTTATTTATTATTTTTTAAAAAAGCAAATGTCTCCACTGGTCAACCGGTCGCTAGAGCTTGATGCCAGCAGGGGTCACCGAAACTCAAGTGGCCACAGTCACTGGAGCTCTGGTGACTGAAGCTCTTGCGGTCAGCAACAATTTTTTTTGAAAATTTTTACAACTTCAATAAAACAATTAACAAGTTTTTTAACGCTATTAACAAGTTCATTATAGTGGTTAACAATAGATTGTTTGAAAAATTCAAAAAATACTATTTTTACAACCTTAGTAATGTCGTTAATAAGTTTCGTAACTCCATTAATAATTTCGATATAGCATTTAACAACAAGTTTTTTTTAAAATTAAAAAAATTGCATTTTTACAACTTTAGTAACTACTTTTTTTGAAAATTTTTACTACTTCAGTAAAATGGTAAACAAGTTTTGTAATGCTATTAACAAATTCAGTATAGTATAGCAGTTAATAACAGATTTTTCAGAAAATTAAAAAGTAACATTTTTACAACTTCAGTAATGCCGTTAACAAGTTCCATAACTTTATTAACAAGTTCAGTATAGTATTTAATAACAAGTTCTCTAAAAAATTCAAAAAGTGACATTTTTACAATTTCAGTAACACAATTAACAAGTCATGTAACGATATCAACAACTCTTATAAAGGTTGATGTTTTAATATTAGCTCCCTATGAAAGTTGTACAACAAAATTTTTTTCACTTATTAGGTAGTCATTATGGTTATGAGAGTTATTAATATTGTTACATGACTTGTTAACTGCATTACTGAAACTGTAAAAATGTCACTTTTTGAATTTTTCAGAAAACCTGTTATTAAATGTTATACCGAATTTGTTAATAGAGTTACGGAATTTGTTAATAGCATTACTGAAGTTATAAAAATGCTATTTTTTGAATTTTCTAAAAAACCTGTTGTTAACTACTATACTAAACTTGTTAATTGCGTTACAAAACTTATTAACTGTTTTATTGAAATTATAAAAAAAATTTCAAAAAAATTAGTTACTAAAGTAGTAAAAGTGCTATTTTTTTTTGAATTTTTAAGAAAACCTATTATTAAATGCTATACCGAAGTTATTAATAGGGTTACGAAACTTGTTAACGGTATTACTGAAGTTGTAAAAATGCTACTTTTTGAATTTTCTAAAAAATCCGTTGTTAACCGTAACACTAAACTTGTTAATAGCGTTACAAAACTTATTAACCGTTTTACTGAAATTGTAAAAATTTTAATAAAAATTGTTGCCTGCGTCGGAGCTCCAACAACCGGCCAGTTGGGGCATTTGGTTTTTAAAAAAATAATAAATAAATATAGGGCAATATGATCATTTGAGTAAATTTACAAATCCAAATTGGTCACTTATGTCTAAATTAGAATTTTGCAAATTCAAATGACCATTTTAGGATTTTTAAGTTTAAATATCATTTTTGTGTCATTTTTCGTTTTAAAAACCACACCGTTTAAAATTAATGAAAATTGGTTGGCAAACATTAATCAAAGTTGATAAAATTTAATCAATGATTGTTTTTCTAATGTTTAAACAACATTATAATAGGTAAAATTAAAATTAAAGTTGATTGATTTTGTTACAACTGAATTAGATATACTTTGAATCAGTGGAACGTTTCAAGGTTGTGGAGGAAAAAAAAAATTAAAAATTTACGATATGTGTATTTCCATATTCAAAAAAAAAAAACTAGTAGCTTTGATTGAGTTAGATAATTAATTTAAAAAAATTCAAAAAATTAGTTAAATTAGTTATTTATATTAAATATATATTTTCACATAAATTATTTTTTTTAATTAAGTACATTGGTACTACTTCTTGGTTAAAATTTCTTACCATCAGTAAGAATATTTTGAATTAAGGTTTTTATATTTATAATCAAATCTAAGTATATAACCAATTTTCATATCAAGAATGAGAAGTAGCATTAAAATTATCATTTTCTACTTTAAAATTTGTTATTAGAAGCTTATATATTCTTACTGAAATTTTTTAATAACTATTTTTTTTGGGACTTTATAACAAATTTTCTATATTTATTGCATAAAATTGTGTTTTTAATTTGAAAGAGAGAGGCTTAGGACCCTAGAGAACTGAGACTAGGGCTGAGATGGCGGGAATAAACAGCCCGCGAAGTTTAGGCGGGAAAACAATCTGCATATCTCCACTGATCACTGAACGGGTAGTGAACCGCCGACCTTCCTGATTCCGTGATTCGTGACGCTCTACTGCGCAGCGAAGGCGAAAGACCGAGTAATTTGGCGATTCGGGACTAAGAAATGGTGGGACCGCCATACGATTTTCTGGTGAATCCTCTCGGGGTCGTGAGATCAACGTTCGAGAAGGCGATTGCTTCGGGCTCCGATCCTGCTTCTTTTGACGCCAAGGACTGGGGCGCCATTGATCTCTTCAGCGGTTTCCTCTTTGATCAGCCTGGACTTTCTCGGGTTCGCTTTCTTCTTTCCTGTATTTATATTTTTTTTACCCAGTTTCTAGTTTTATGGGATCTCATAACTGTCTTTATCGTTCACTATAATCTACCCGATCTTTAAAATCACTTACTGTCTTTACCTCATAGCATGAATATTTTCTGGAACTCATAAGTTTATGACTTTTTTGTATATTTAGTTTATTTGGACTTGGCAAAAGGCGAATAGAGTATTTTAACCTTTTCTTTCTCGGGAATTTAGAGCTTAATTAGTTCATTGTATGTTGCAAATCCATTATTTTATTACTAGATCAATTGGTTCTTTTATTCTTTGTAATTTTAATCTGTTACATATCTCCTAGTGATGTATTCATTGGTGATAAATTTGTTACCTGGGATGTGTTGTTTCAGGTTCCGGTTTTGACTCCTGCCACACTCAGATGGGTACAACCCAATACTCTAGTTCGGTTTCGTGGAATGATACAAGACATGATTGGGAATGAGCTTTATGTGGGTGCTTATAAGGTATTTTTTCTTGTCATTAATCTAAATTTATGGACTAACTATCTCTAATCTCTAGTACAAAGTAATTCTGATGCTTATAAGGTATTTTTTCTTGTCATTAATCTAAATTTATGGACCAACTATCTCTAATCTCTAGTACAAAGTAATTCTGATGATAGCGAACTATTTTTTTGCAATTTTGAAGGATGGTTCAGTGTGGAGGACCAACAAATTTATGGATGTAGCTCAGTTTCCTATGGGTTCCTCAGCAGATATGCGAATCTGGGAACGGCGGTTACTATACTGTGTTCCGGTGAGTTCTCTAGAGTCAACATTTTCTTTCAACATGGATGCTTGCTGCACCAATCTCAGATGCTTTCATACAAGAATCTAAACTGTTTCTGCTTCTGACAAATTCCATTATCATCCTAGAAGTGGGAATCTTGTTTGGGAAAATAACGATGGTGATTCAAGACTTGCCTAACGTGTAGGATTTCAATGATTTATGTTCCCCCCCCCCCCTTCAGGTCCCGGGGCAGAATGCATGGACTGAAATTTCAACAGAAGTAACTAATCAATATGAGGATTGGACATTTCAACAGAGAGAAAAGCGGAGGAGAGCAGATGATGAGTCTGATGAATGCAAGGATATGCATGTATATTCCGGCCTTGCCATGCTGTTGATAGTTAGATCATTGCCTTAGACATTGAAAATTTACAAATAATTAGTTGATGAGTAGCAAATTGTCAATTTAACATTAGTTCTTTGAAATTGAGTGACTTGCCTTCAAATGATTTGGTTACAAGATATTAATGCATTTTCTAATTTAATATTCTCTTGGTATTTTTCTTTTGTGCATAAAAGGGAGTGATTAATTTGACACCTACAAGTGAGTTTTAGGTTGTTTTTGGAAATTTTGCAGCATTAATTGCTGGATAATTTATATTTCATCATTCTTACCAGCATACTGAATTCATAGGTCTCAGCTGATACGGTTCAAGGCTCTCCAGATACCAAAAAGATGGTATGTAGAACTTATGCTACTCATTCTTTTTTTCTTTATTTCATTCACTGAAGAGAAGCAACCATGAGTTATGTTCTTAAGTGGCTTGCTTTAGGTCTTGATTGCATGATTTGCTAGCTCTAGTTGTATCACTTTGACTTGATTTGACCCCCCCCCCAAATTTTTACCAATATCAACATAAAATGTAAAATTTTTATGTATTTGGGCTGTTCACAAATTATGAATAGTGTAGCTTCTTTCTAGTGTTTATGTTTTTTTAAATCTTCAGACATATTAGTGGGCTCTGGTAGTGATTCTTTCAAGGATTGGCCATTGGCCTTAATGGTTTTTGTTGGGCGTAATTTACAGAGAGAAGATGAACACACTTCCCTTGCTACCCAATCTCAGGGAGCTTTGCCTGAGAGTTCTAGCTCTGGTATGAGTATTGTGCAAGGCTGTGATGGTAATTCACTTCCTTGTCTTGTGAAGGTAAGAACTGTTCTCTGTCTGTCCCTCTCTTAATTTCTTATGAAATTTATTGACATAGATTTTTCGTTTTTTATAAAAAGCTTTTATTCATTGTTATTGCTTTACATTTTTTCTGAAGTTCTCAGTCTTTTTCCTTCATTTTCATTCTTTTTTTCACAGATATATGATTCTCCGGAATCTGACTTAAAGCTGAATGATGTATTTGAGTTTGTGGGTATCCTTGCATCTAGTGCGGAGCCTCCTGTGGGCAGCAGAGATTCTGAATTTTCAGATGATTTTTGTGATGACCCATTGCAGCATTTTCCAGCTAACAAGGTGTTTATTGCAATTTACAATGAAAGAATTACCAATCCCCATCTCGTGTCGTGGAGATTTGTTCGTTGCGTGTTTGCACAAGTTCTGGATTTTAAGGGACAAACTTTTGTTTTTTATTGGGGGGGGGGGTGTTGTTACAACTTTCACAATTTCTTCCTGCCATGGCAGGTCCTTTCCTGGGATTAGTCACTTGAAAGTCGGAAGAGTTCTTTAAGTGTGACAAAAACATAACTTAGCTCTAAAACTCTACTTTATTGTCACTTCCAGACAATTTAATGCTTAATTGAATTAAAACGCCTGTTTTCCCCCCCAAAAGCATATATTAATCTGACAGGCTTCCTTGTTCCTTCAGGCACAACTATAAGGAGCATCAATTTAATGTTATGGTGACATAGTATCTGGTTTTTAACATATGCATATCCATTTTCCTCTGTGGTGCAGGTGCCACGCCTTCATTGTTTTGTTCACAGAAAACTTGCAGTTTCAGATTTCCTTCAGAATAACCCCATAATAGAGGTAATTTGCATGCTTGCTTAAGTATAATTCACTTAATCTGAATGATTGACTTGGAATTTGATTCGTATGTTTAAAGTTCTACATCTTGAGCTGGGTTCTCTTGTTATTTTCATTGATTGGAAAGTCTTTGCTGAAAAAGGATGTACATGATCTCGCAGCCAAAATCTCACTTGATCAGAGAGATCAGGGAAGCTCTACTCAGACATCTCACGTCCGTTCTTGGCAATGATGCTGTGGCTGCTCATTACTTGTTGCTACATCTTCTATCCAGGGTACGTAGTTCTTAGAAGTTTCTCCCCAGTCATTTCATGGTTTTGTAAATGCTGCCTTGATTCCTGTCTGGCTAACAATTCGTATTCAGCGTATGGTATTTTTCCAGCTATCCTCACAATTGAGGACCCTTATAATGATAGTCTGTTCTTGAGCAGGTACATGCTAGAGCAGACACTCTTGCGGTGGGCAAGCTTTCACTAAATCTTACTTGCTTTAGCAAAGAAACTATGTCTGCCTTTGGAAATATATTAATTCTTGCTGTGAAGAATCTCTTGCCTTTCACACATTGTATACCCCTTACCGTGGAGTACCTAAACACAACTGCACTTGCGCCAAGGAAAGATTATGATACAAACAGGTAATTCTAATTTCTAGTTCTTCTGATTTACGGGCACCTTATTTCTTATATTAACACGCATTTATGGGTGCCTGTGTTGATGCTCTAGACTGGTTACTGGAGCTCTGCAGCTAGCTGAAGGCACTCACTTAATTGTTGATGAAACAAAATTAAAGGCGGGAGCCCTCAACTCTGTGGGTGTGGAGAATGCAAGGCTTCTGAAAAATTTAATGGAGTTTCAAAAGGTAGCTATTTTCTTGTCTGGCACTCGTTTTAGTCATGGGAATTGTTTTAGTATGACTGTCCATTTAGAAGACAAATTTATAAATGCCTTGCACAACTGCTAGAAATGTCTAACATTCCTCAAAAGATTTGACAAAATTTAAAATGCTGTTCTCCTTTTGCAGCTGCTTGTTTGCAATTGTTTTATTTGAAAGTAGAGGTGAAGAAACTAACATTTCATACTGTGTTTCAGCTGGAATATGACTTCAAGTACTACAAAATGGAAATGGCCACCGATGTCCAGCTGCTAGTCATGTCAGAAGGGAAATCAAATATCTTGCCAGCTGATGTAGTTGTACCCTTCCGACCTTCTGTTGTAAATGCTACTGAAACTGTTGTTGGAGAAGCTTTAGACTCTTGGAGGTGGTATTTGGCTACTGTTAGACAGCTACCGCATTCTATTGAATCAGAAATGCAGAAGGTTTGCGTCATCTTGTTAAAGTTCAGATCAACTAGGCCTCTTTTGAGTTGACAGGAAAATAGTTAACCAACAAATTAAAATAGTCTCGCTCATGCTGAGTGCTTGGATTCCTTCCTGTTATTTTGACTCTTAATCTGTTAAAATGACACAACTTGAAGCATCTTTGGAGGCTTTATACCGGTGGCTTGTGTTTGCAGGTGGTAGAAAATGATTTAGTTGCAGCAAGACAAGCTGATAGGAGTTTAAATCCCCAAGATCTTAGCAAGTTAGCAACATACTCCTTGCATTGCTAATGCTAGCATTGTTTTTCATATCTAAACTGTATATTGAGTGCATGCTTTGTTGTCCTGCTCACAACAGATGGTTAACAATGGGTCGTCTCATGTCCTTGAGCTTTGGTGAGACCAGCCTCTCTCCAGAACATTGGCAAATGGTCAACGAATTGGAGACGCTGCGAAGTGAGAGATTAAAGTGAAGCATTCTTTTATGGGTTATGAGATTGAACTGCTGCCTCCTGGGGCCTTTGAAGAAAGGATAGCCCATCAGAAGCGTTTTTAGGCCAAAAAGGGTTGGAAAAGTTTGTCTGTGCGACCTGACAACCTGAATTGTCCGGCCAGTTTCCTCTTTTACCCGCCCATAACGTGTATATTTAAGATCCTATAGTGGCTTATGCATACGGTAAAACCTATGGAATACTCTTATATTTAAACTTAACATCTCCTGAGCGAAGCTATTGGCCGAATGAACAGGGAAAAAAAGTTATCGATTTATTTAAAATATAAATGATCAATACTAATCTAAAATATAAGTTTATAAGAACTTTTACTATTACCCAAGTTATAAACTATATTCATTAACCCATATACGTATGAAATAACTGTTGGAGGTTTTCATCACTTTCTCGATCAAATCTGAAGTCAACTGAAATTTCAACTACCTATTTGTTCTAAGGTTAACAACTCACCCAGGACTTACTCATCCTTCCAGAAATGTTGAGTTCCACGGAAATTAAATAAAACGCGGCATCCAAGACATGTTTGTGCACCATGCATTTCTTTCCATACCACATATCTTCGTGTAATGGTTAGTTTATTGTGGTCGGAATTTTTTTTTTTTTTTAAAAAAAAACTAGACAAGGGTTATAATTTATTGAGCTGACCATCAAGTCTAAGCATCAGCTGTACTACGTGAATACCACAAAATGGAAAATACTTCAACCATACTTCACTTGAAAAGAACAAGATAAGGGTTATAAATTATTGAGCTGACCAACAAATTTTGCATACATAAATGCATATGGAGCACCATGTTCTTAGTTAGTGCCTACTCTTGCATGATTTAATACAAAAAAAAGAATACGAAAAAAAAATAGTGATTAAATGAGGACAAGGTTGCGGGAGAGTTGGTTAGAGTGTAGGTGAGGAAAAAGGAAGGAGCAATGTTGCACGTTATGAATGGTCCAAACATTGGCATAGTCAAAAGGGCAACGAGAAACAGACAAGTCTGTCTGCGTACGAATGAGTATGAAGAAGTTGGTCCTATTCTTTCTTTCTTTTTCTTTTTTTTTTTGGTTTAATTTTATTTCTTACTGATCAGTCCCTTGATTGACTTTTAGGAGGTTTGGTACCACTTATATTTTTGAAGGTGCAACTAAAACTAATTGACTTCCATGTGCCTCGCAACTCTATTAACAATCAAACCCTCAAATTTCTAATTTGCACATTAGTGATTTTCTGTATATTAGCAGTACTGGTCAGTGTTCACACAACCCTTTTTTTTTCCTTGCCTACCAAAAATATAACAAGGGACGAATGTGCTTGTATCAATTTTTTCCGGATATTGGCAGTTGTGTCTCTCTTTTAAATTACGAATAGGAAAAAAATTGTTCGAAACTGTGTACAATTATATCAATAATTTGTATACAAGACTTAGAAATAAAGTAAGAATTCGTCTTATCAAGAAATAAAGTAAGAATTTGGTCTTGTTTGATGAAATAAAATAAGAACAGTTGTGGATGAAAAGTTAAAGTCAATTCCTAAACATTAAAAAAACTTATGAAGGTGATAATAAGACCAAAATAATTGTTATGAATATGTTTTTTAATAATCAAGGGAGAATTATAATGAGGTCCAAAAAAAAATTACTAAAAAGTCTTAATAACAACCTAAACAGCCTGTAATAACAAGTTTCAGAGTAGGCAATAGCAACTTTGAAGAGCTGTTATGCAATATTTTTCTTCCCTGTAATTCTCCCAAATAATAAAAAAGATTTTTTTTATTGTAGATTACCATACAAAACTTTACTAGTTTATGTGCTCAAAATTTCTCCGAGAATATTGACAATAAGCTCATTTCTACATTTACTTTTGTCATCTTTTGTTTTTTTGCCAACTCGTTATTTGAAATATTTGAAACCGAACACTCAAGCTATATTAAAAAAAAAAAAGTGCTTTCTTAACTATTTCATTAGAACAACGACTAGCAAACCAAAATAGCAGAAGACGAAGAAGACTTTTGCAACAAGCATGCTCATTAGATTGATATATAACTTGCCCCACCTTGGCTTTTAGACCATTTGGGAAATTAAATATACAGGGCTATAAATGAGATATTCACTGCCCTTCACCTCAAACAATCAAAAGGCAGTGATGAATTGAAGATCCCTAAACTAAAACAACTATTATATATATAATAGGCCTAGCGGGTGCCATATAGCCACCTCTGCGTTAGAAGCCATATTGGCATGAAGAACTCCTCCTCCTAATCTACCCCCTCTTTCTTTCTTCCCCTCACAATCGTAAAACAAACAAGCCCAATTATATTACACAAATATAACTTTAAACTGTGACCTTAAAAGCTCTCTAAAATTGTCCGCCCTCAAAGGTCTGTCCAAATTGCCAGTTTGCTGGCACAACATTGTTGCTAGTAATGGTTCTGCCATCACTGGTTGTGACCTGGAAGGACAGGCTCTGCCCATTGAGGTAGGCATTGCTTTGCCAGTTCTGGCCCCAGTTCCTTGACATGGTTTGCCATCCTGTCCTTGACCCTTTGATTGACACAGAATGAACATCCCCAGCTCCTCCAACGTTTGTGACCAGAACCAAGTTGAAGTATGAGTGGCCATTGATGGTGAATCTGATCCCTCCTTTCTTAACACAGGGCACTCTGTTTCCAAATCAGGAAAAAAAAAATCAAGTTAGTTTATGTTCTCTAGATAATAAGGACAGATACGAAATATAACAGTACATGTGGCGTTTATTTTATTTTTACCTTCTGAATGAAATAGGAACAATCCCAGCTTTGTATTGAGCAATCTGCAAGAAAGCAGGCTCAGCGAGATCAAAGTGTTGGAGAGGAGGGTTGCACCAGCCTCCGTTGTTATTAGCCAAGGCATAGTTAGGAGGGCAGAAGTTAGTGGCAGTGACCATGATAGAACCAGGAAGGCACCATTTGGGGTCGCCGCTGCATCTCATCTCATAGCAAGATCCACAACTCAGACCATTGTTGAACAGAGCAGTGCTCAGTGCTGCAGTGTTTTTTCCATAACCTTGACTGTATAAATTCCCATACCCACAAGCTCCTCCTGCAAGAACAACACATAATCTTATCAGAAACGCAAAACCCAGATGAAAAGGTTCCAACTTTTTGACTCATGATAGCAGACTTAAAGCCTATAATGGATACATAAATTCCAAATGAGAATATGTTGTTCTCAAACTTACCCATTGTCCCGGAAGCATCACCCCCACCATAAAATGTGGCATGGCCTCCTTGCCATCCTCCGTTATCACCAAAGGAGCCTTGAAGGTTAAGAAGGAGGAGGAAGAGAAGAGAGAAAGCAGAGAATGTAGCTGCAATGGCCATTGTGTTGTGTGCTAGCTAATTCTTAGAGAAGAGGGAAAACAGAGGAGTTTAGTGAGATATGAGAGCTTTTGCTGCTTTGAGCATAGCAGAAGGTAGTATGCTTATATAGGAAACTAGAGAAGACTCGGAAGTGGGGTCCCATGGTTGAAAGGGACAAATTAGCAATTCTGAGGTAGAAAAAGAGATTCATATTTCATAAATTTTTTTCTCAAAGTCATTAGAAGAAACGAAGGAGCACATGCAAATGTTTCAGTTAGACTACCAACTGCTTAATCTACGGTCCCACTTGGCACATGCATTCTTCAACCGTTTCCCTATAATTTTCTCTAATACTTTATGCTTATTTCTCGAGGTCTTTAACATGGAGTTTTCTTCTAAATCTTCCCTGAAATCACGGTATGGAAACTCTTGTACACACGACAGTAAAGTCGCTAATTCTGGTGTAACAGTGTGCTACACCATACTTAACCTTTAGTTATGTCCAAAATAGCATACTCTAATGAACTTTGGTAAATAAAGCAGCCCACTTTACTTTTTCCTTCATTCTCACTTCACGTCCAAATCAAAATAAACCATTCTTGGTAATGAAGTCTGTCAAAACCTAACAGAGCTTAAAAGGACAATTCATAGCAATAAAGTTTGACTAACCTGGAAGATTGAAGTTTGAATATCAATCAAAGCAAAAACATCTAAATGTAAATGAGAGCATCTCAATCCTTGAAGAATGTTGATTTACCCCGTCTCATTATGTAAGAAGGGGACAAAATTGTTCAAGAATCTAAATGTGAAAGGATTTATTAATAATGCAGGAGGATCTCAGTCTGTGCAGACTACCGACATGAATAAACAGAACGGTATAGCATATTTCTGATACCAAGAGCTCAAGTAATCTGATTCCACGTGTGTCATCCTGCTCAAATCCAGAGACCTTCAAAGAAAATGCAGAGAGCTCGTTAAAAATATATTACCCAGTGCTGAAAAAGAGCCAAAGATTGTTTCTTTTGTTCATTTTCATGCCTAACTCTCTCAGAAATCTATAAACAAAGTCATTTCACAAACCACTCAGAGTCCATTGTCGGTTACTTGTTATTATAAGACAAATTATCGCAGTAAGCAAAAAATATAAACTGATGTGGTTGTTTCTGCAATCGAAAAGGAATTTGGTTAGTGAACTTTGAGGGAAAAAAGGTCAAACGTACACGTGGTGGGATTTGGGGATAAGAGCTAGAAAAGATAAAACAAAGAGCATAAATTATGATGATTATATTTAGAAACAGGAGGACTAGTTTATTGTTAATAAAAAACAAAAACTTTGAAAACTTCGAAAATCATTTACTTATTAAATGATGACTCTTGAAGGCATCAATCTCGGCATTAATGAGCAGAGAAAAATTTGGGAAGATTTAAAAAAACCAAAAAAAAAAAGAAAAACTGGGAGGATCTGAAGATGGGCCTACCATGTTAGGAGCACATGCAAGTCCCGCTCTTTGCGGTCCATTGCCCTAAAACGTCGTCTTCTCTAAATAAAACTTGAGCCTACTTGTGTTCTTCTGCGTTCTCAGTCAAGAAAGGAATATATATATATTTATGTATTTATATAGGCGTTTACAACAGAAGAGGATAATACTAATAAATCATTGGCTGGAAAAAAAAAGTAATGACTCAAATATCACGTTGGATGCACAAAATATTAAGAATAAAAAAATGAAAAAAATGATGACATAAATAATTAATATATAAAAAAATTATGTGGTTTATTATTATTTGTTTTGGATTTCATTTAATTTCTTTTTATCATACCAACTGGTGTGATGGCATGACATGGACCTGGACCTCGATTATCATATTGATATACTCCTTGGGTCCTTAATATAAGACCCATTTGATTAATTTGATTAGATTAAGGAAGTTAGGTAAGTTAGTTAATTATAAGAAATGTGACATGTTTTTCCTAAAACACCATGATCATCTTTCTTAATACCTTTCTCCCTTTTCTACTTGATTATGGTTTAGAGAATATCTATAGGGGTAATTTAGAGAAAATTGATAAATATGAGAAATGGGTCTTATATTTAGGACCAAAACCAACTCAACAATTGGGTCCTATATTAAGGACCGGAGGAGTAGTATTTATAATTCTCATCAATTTAAAATTAATACTACCCCCAGTTCTAATTATAAGACCTCATTTATAGACTGCAAACGAGGTTTTATAATTACGATTTGAGGTAGTATTCAACTAGCAAAAATGTTTATTTTTTTCCCTTTAAAGTTGATGTTTCAATGATGAATTATCAAAAAGTAGGATGATAACTTTGAATCGTGGCCTAGCTAATAATTTTTTTCCCCAGCTTCGGAAGGTCAACAGTCAATGTGAGGGAAACAATAAGAAACCCGAAGTATCCCTTGCGTGGTGGATATATAATTAATTAATAATTATTAATATTTTCAGATTTTAAATGTAAAATCCTTTAGATAGCTGACAAAACTTAAGTTGGCTACTTAACTTAGAATGAACATATTGACCAAAAAAAAAATTAGAATGAACACTAACATAAAATCCCTTTTGGGATTTGCTTGTTGCTCTGTATTGTGCCTAAAAGGATTTTTTTTAACTAAAGTGTGATTATGACTTGTGTGTCAAGTATGTTTGCATTTAAGCTTTAATGAGATTAGACGGATTGTGATAAATCATCTTCTCTGCTGTTTGTCACAGTTAGGGACAGGGTTTCATTATGATTACTAACAATTAATCACTTAATATGCCCTAATAAATGTGTCTTTTCATGTCATCGGAAAATTAACTCTCTACCATCAATTTTTGTCTTATTAATATGGAATATGATGGAGGAATTTGATTTACCTCATACCTTTCAGATTGCTGAAAAAAGTTTCAATTTTTACTCGTGTCTAACAATAAATTTAAAATGTTCTGAACTTTATTTCATGGTTGTAGGGAATGGGGGCAGAGATGGGACACAATGAATAATAAGCCTGAAATGGGCAAATAGTACAAAAGAGTGATCAGGAGTGAAGAATAGTGAAATCGACATCGTATTTTAATTTAAAATCTTAAGACTTGAGTTGTTTCACTTTATTATACATTTATTGATAGGTTTAATTTTATCTTATCTGATGCTTCTCGTATTAACCCAATCCTACTCACAATTAAACACCATAATTAAACATATAAACTACAAATCTTCAAAAACTTGACTACATATTGGCCAACAATCTCACTGTTAACCATGTTTACTAGGTTTGTCCGGATAAAGAAAAAAATAGGAGGGGAGTCTTTTCCTTCTTCGATTTTCTTTCTCTCCTTTAATTAATTTTCTTTTGCTATCCAAATAATAGGAAATTTACCACTTTTATTCTCTAGTGGTGTACTCCGAAATCTGACCTTTTCCTTTATTCGCATCAGTGTTTCTAAAATATTATACAAGATAATGAACCACTCATTTGGGTTCACCAATTTAGGCACATATAAGTCAAAAGTTTTCTTCTTTTGTGCAAACAAATCAAAAACAAGTTATGGCTTAAAGTCATGATGGAAAATATCAAGTTTTCATGAATTTTCAAATACAGAGTTAGAAACTTCAATTCAAAAAAGCACAAAAACCAGAAAAGGGAGAGCACTAATTATAAAAACTGCCCCATAGACTAAGAAATATGCTTGCATGCATGACTTCGCAACATCAACATTCCCTTTTTCTTCAGAAAACTGAGTCTAAAAAGAAGTAGATGAAAACAATTAAAACAGAAGGAAGAATCCAAATGAAAGTTGTATATATCCAAAAGAATATATCTTCTCTCTAATAATAAGACCTAATTGAACACTGTTTGTGAGCGTAAATAAAAAAGGATTCGGATAATATTCTAGACAATATCATCTTGCCAAATGAAGTTGAGTTTTAACTCCTTCGCTCAATGCGAGCTGCATTCAAAATTAAGCTACAATTGAAATCACTTTTGAAATTCCTGTTAGAAACTCTGTGCGTCTCGAAATCATTGTGTTTTTAGAAATACCATACCTTCACCCTTTTAGATTGATCGTTTTGTCAAAGAATTATCTGATCTCACCAGACAGACTATAAACATTTAGAATATCTTTTGATGTCTCTAGTTTATTCATATTTCGTTTTGTTGTAATTATTTGATGATGCACAAGTGTTTTTGGTTTGTATCACCCTTTATAATTTCATTGTTTAATGAAATTTCCCCCTCTTTCATAAAAGAAAGGCCTACTTGAATAGCATACTGAAACGAGGTCCACAAAAAAGCATGTGGATTTTGTCTGAATATGTAGTTAGTGTAGGAACCAATCGAATGTGGTGACCACAAGGGGCTGTCCAGACCGGAAACCCCACTTGATGAAGAAGAAGGAAACAAAAAAAGAAGCCTAGAAATGGATGGAACAAATGGCTGAAAGGGATTCAAAGGGTCATTGTCTAAGGGTGGTTAAGGGAAATGGCCCCCCCATGTACAACACAGAGACACAGAGACAGCCTTAAAGAGAGTTAGTTTCGTCTGGTGTGTAAGTTAAAACTACATGTTCAACACCCTCCCATGTGCATTCAATGTGATGTTGCCCCTTCACAACCGTTGTAAGATGACACAATTTTTCGTTACGACTCACAATGTGAATATCTAACTTCTTTTCATCTGAAAAATCTCTCATACCAGTCTTATATTTTATACATGAATTTGACATACAAGAGTGTGAAATATACACAGGATTCAAATTTTCTCTCTTTACACACGTCTTTTTGACTATACGCATGATGTGAGTAATTAATGTTTGAATTTTGTTGTTTTGGGTTTTCAATCCTATATTATCATAATGGTCTTTATCACTTTATTTGATATGTTATTTGTCATTGTATGGATATTATCCATATGTAATAATCCAAAATATCATCATCCCATTTGCTTAGTGTGATGGCTGACATAATGTACACAAGACTTAATTTTTATTTGTTTCCAATCTAATTTTAACAAAAAGATCTCTCTCATTGTTGTTTATTACATCGTTTGTTGTTTCATTAAAACAGCATCACTTCACTCAGTGTTGTAGTAGCTTGATGCGAGAGCTAACTATTTTGAAAGGAGAGAAGACTAAAGAGGAAAGAATATTATGAGAGAAAACGGTAAAAAAAAATGGTAATTTTTTTATTTTAAAAAGTTTTCTTTTACACTAATTCTTCCCTTTCTCTTTCTCCTATTTTTCCTTCCATCCAAAAAATTGAGATTAGACTGAACATTCACAACTTGCACCAAAGTTATGCACATCATGGAATTATTTTAGTTTTGTGATATTGGAGGATCTAAGTTGGCCCACAAAATTTTTTTGTTGAAATGAAACGTCGGAAGGGGGTTAATTAGAATGTCCCTTCTTGGGTCCTGCACGTGTCGTACGAACGGATTTGGGAACTAGTTAGGTTTTGATAATACTCCTCTGGTCCTGTTTATGGGATAGGAAAAGAATATTTTTTTTTAATTCTATTTATAGGGTATTAAGAAAAAAAATTTGTATAGATGTACAATTTTACATTTTATTTATTATTGTATTGATTTTATTTATATGAAATATTATGTATATTAAATAAGAATAAAATTATAAAGTTGTTGAATTTTAAATGAGAATTAATGAAATTTAAAGTTTTTTTATTTTATATAAAATATGTTAGAAATAACTTACAAATAGAACTAGAAGAATAACAAGTTAAAACTGTGATTATGATTTTTTTTTTGTTTCCTCTGTTGTTTTTTGAGGCCAAAGACAAAGGAGCATTAATTGCGACTGCAGTGTGAAACACCAAGTTGAACATTTCAATAATTTCATTCAATACTTGCGGCTACTCGCCAGACCCAAAAGCTACTTTGATTTTTTTTAAAAAAAATAAAAATACTGTAATACTGTTTGCCTTATTTATTTCGTCAATGGAATTCATAAAAAAGCCTACGTGAGGGCGGAGTTATTGATGATACGCGTCTTGCTAAAATAATACCCACAATAAACATTTCAAGAATATGTAAGGGTCTTAATGGTTGGATTTTAAATTCCACTTGTACCCTTTGGCTTTCCATATATCTACCCTCGGTAGGAATTATCATTTGTTTGGAAATTTAAATATTTAGAGATGAAAGGAGTTTGCTCAATAAAAAGGAAGATATGAAAGAAGATTTGTTAACTAAAACACACTTGCACATCACACTCTCGACTTTTAGTAGTGGTGGGGAGGAGCAGGGACGATAAGAATTCAGGAAAATGACATTTAAAATGCCTCAAGTTTTTTTTTATAAAAACTTCAAATTATTATTGAACTCTTTCCAAATTATAACTAAGTAAAAAAATTATACAAATTAATTTTCAAATAATGAATAGTTGAAATTAGAACTAAATTTACAAGTTTTAAAAAACTTCTAAAAAGCATAAATAACAACTTTTTCTCCTTCATAACTTAAGAAATATATGTCAATCTGTTTGATTACGTAGTTTCTACTGATATTGATTATCAAAGGTAAATTTCAATTAATATCTCTTACAATATCTTAAATATCTATCACTTTCCCCAAGGATTTCGCGCCTACCTTTCATTTGCCGCTGGATACGAACGACCAGATAACTAGGTGTATAATGGAAATTTTCAACTGTTAAAAATTTAAACTTCAAAACTTTTCACCCCTCAATTACAATCTTTATTCGCACTCAAATTAAAATGTGTAACTTCATGGGCCGGGAAAAAAGAACGTAACCTCGAGGAGAGTGGGGCGAGAGTCCTGGCAGGAGCCTCTCTCAACAGATCGTAGAGCAAAGAGATAGGGGATGGAAATATGTGGAGCTCATAGCTACACACAATGTCCTCTCCCAAATTGCGAGGAGGCACAAAACATGACAAACCAAGTGAAGTTTCGAATAGACAAGAATAAAACATGACGGTCCATTCGTAGCAACCCATGTCCAAGTGTTTGAGCTTTACCAGATAACATTAATGAGGACCAGGTTCTTTGTTCAACAACAGTAGAAAGTTAGATCTGACAAAAACACCTAATTGGTCATCCAAACACATGCACGCCCAAACTAAGAGACAATACCTCATTGAATGCAAGGGTCTGTTATGTGTTTATACTCGTACCGAAAAAATGAAGTACATGTCCCATTGTTGGGAAAAAAATAACAGTAGCAGAAAGGATAGGACTGTAAAGGTCTCTCGTGGTAATATCAATAAAAGGAACTCAAATTCAGACAAGGCTAACAAAATTTTGGAAGAGTGAGCTCGGGGACCCTGAATAAGCCGCCAACAATCTGAAATTTGATCAAGTAAAGAATTAATTGCAGAGAAAAAGAATACCTTCGTGTCTCGCTAACGTCAGTCTATGAACAATTCAATAAACTGGGCGGTGACATGTTGGTTAATCAAATTTGCGTCAAAAGGCACTGCTGATTTGTTTGACAGAACCAGAGGAACCATCAGGCGTCAGAATGGGGGCACCCCCGGTGCTTATCTCAAGCCCCTGAAATTGGCCAATAGATTCCTGAGGCAACATTTCCGACAAGTCGTGCGGGCTGGCTATTGCAAGCGGCGGCTGATGAGGATTTGGTAAACTAGATGAGAGTGCATGTAAGTGTTGCATTTGCATAATCTGAGGTTCACCAACTGGTCCACACTGTGACTGATGTAAGAAGAAAGAACCTTGAGGGTATGGGATTTGATGCGCTTGCACATTGTAGGTTTGGGTTAAGGTTGGAGTTACTGTCTCTCCAGTAGCAACCTTAAGCCTATCGACCTCTTTCTTCAGTGCTTCGTTTAAAGCTGCAGAATTAGTTATCGAAATTTGAAGTCTCGAGAGTTATATTTAAGCAAGCAATGAGAGCATGTTAAGCTAACTAATACTATAACACGAGAAATATCAGCAGTGGGTTATTGATTTCCTAGGACCACATAACACTCCAGGAAACCTCTAAGAACCCCTAGAAAGCTTAAAAGTTTACATATGAGCTGTGGTTCCATGGTATAGATGTCATCAAAAGTTTAAAAGAATTTCCGACAACTTTATGGAAAATTATTTTTATTCTGCTCAAACTTAGGCAAAACAAAAGCTAGCATAGTTGCTGTGGAATTAATGTCAGAGATAGAACTTGTATAGCGAGTAACAATTGAGACAGAGATCAAAGAACGGGGAAAAAGAGAAAATTTCAGATCACTTCCTTATGAGTTATGATTTGGCCTATTTGCTGCCCCATTAAAAAGCGACAGTCCGAACCTTTGATATTCATTTAATTCCCCGACTCCCCGAATGCTCCAAATATGTTATATCCAACAAATTAAGGTACATCATGAGGGGGAAAAAAAGGTATCAAGGCAGAATGGGACTTGGAAGTAGCATTTTGGGTAATTAGGGATTTATCTGACTAGGAAAGAATCCATCAGGGAATGAACAGGGTTTGTTTGGTAACCTGTTCCATTTCTGTTAAAAATTGGACCTATCTGATAACAGAGTAAAGCTCAGAAGGTGCACAAAATAAGTAGTTTTAGACCACAGGGTGCAAAAATGAAATTAGACCAGACTGCTGCAGGTAATCTGAATTTAACCCGCCATCCCCCACCCCAAAAAGATGGTCGCACAAATAAAGCACTCAAACCCTAGTTTGATTGAAAATTGAAACTTACCATCACGTAACTTAGCTTGTTGCTCCATAGCTTGTAACCGAAGCTTCAGTTCTGTATTTTCACTAGTCAAACCAGTCGTATCTCTCTGAAAATAGAGTAAATTTCAAATAATTGTCTTAGATCGGCACTAGTACCATATAAAGCATCCTCACCATCATGTATGAGCATTTTGACAACTAGTCTATAAGAAGTCAGAAAATATAAGCATCTGCAGAATGATCGCTGGAAGCAAAAAAAAAATGACAAATAACTAATAACGGAATAATACCAACAACACATCACAAATTGGCAAAAAGGGTTTGAACTATGAAGAAGATCCAATCTGTCATCTGTCATAATTAAATAGTAAACATAGAAAATTTCTGCTTGTTTAGCTCATGATCGGATATGCTCCATTATCAGTTATTTTCCACCTGCGTTTAAAGAATCTGATAAGAATATATGATTATTTGAACTATAGAGTCCAAATGCTTCAAATATAAGTAAGAAAGAAACATATTTGCGTATAAGGTTTGTTGACAAATTTCAAATCAGACAATATCAATAACTAATCATATAAGTCACCATTCTGTGAATAATCCAAGATCACATATCACATATACACCAACTTCATACTTAAGCATGGATATGGCTGAGAAGATTGTCGCTGTCCCTATAAGTAATTGTATCAGTTCTGTGAAGTTACTCAGATAAAGGTTTGTGAATGTGATGATTAATCAACAAAACAGGATGGATTCATCTTTCAGTAAGCACCTGGAAAAGATTTAATTGAGCGGAAAGAGTGGTTGCTTCTGTTTGAAGGGATTGAATTTTTTTCTCAAGTTCTACTACATAGCGCGCTTTCCTCTCTTTTGAACGAGCGGCAGATTGGCGATTTGCCAGAATCCTGCGTCAGATGCACAGTTTCGGAAACTCTTTAAGAAACAGAAATAAGAATCATCACTACGCATGTAGACAATAGAGAATTTAAAAGTTTCGAACCTCAATAATGAATCACAAACTTAAGAGCTAATACCCCAGAATCCAATGTGTTACTCCTGAGCATGCATATTTGGAGCCACATTATGGTCCAGCGCGGTCCGAAATGGCAAAACAGATTCCATATTTTCTTCTTCGAAACAAATATAAATGGCTCATGCTCACTCTCATCCAAAAACCAAGTTCCTCCCTCAAGTTATATAATGAAGAAAATCTAAACCCACATCCACGAGAAGACTATGCACAATATAGATGAAGAATCATACCTCTTTGCTCGCTTAGGATCAACAATCCACAATTCGGCAAGCTTATCCGGAGCCATTGCCTTCTTGTAGTCAATGGCCTCGAGCACGAAAGTCCCATCGGCTGAATTGCTGTGCCGATGCCGAGGCCTGGCAGGCTTGTCACCGTCACCGCTAGTTCCAACGGATCCGCCATTGGCATTATTAGTGTCGGAGGTACCAGGTTTGGGGTCGGCTAATGCACAGTTAAGTTGGGATCCGGACTTGTCAAGATCCATATAGGCGGAGAGGAGGTCTTCCTCCGATGCTGCTAGATCTTCAAAGGCGAAGGAAGGGCCATCGAAGAAGCAAGGTTCGAGATCGAAGTGGTCGGGCAATCGGAATTGGCCCTCGGACTGAGCGCGGCGGTGGAAGGGGCCTCGAGAGGAGGAGGAGTGAGGAGGAGGATGGTTGGGAAACGACATCGTTTAGGGAGGAGATTGAAGGTGGGAGAGAGAGCAGCCTGGTGAGGTCAATGATGCAACATGTTGTGCCAGGTCACCGCGCGACATTCCCCGCGCTACCATCTTCCACCACCGGAACTCCACTCTTCACAGGGACAGATGCCGATCGGATGACGGTCAAAGTTAAACGCCGTCTTTTTTTCTGTCGAGACCGGTTATTCCGTTATTTGTCCCTGTACTATTTATTCGGGTTTGGAGCTCTATTAGTACTATTCAAGAGGTGATTTCTCATTTATGTCTCAGACCCTCAAATCAAGCCTACGTGAATATATGACGTGGAAGGAGTTGTTATAGTCAGTGCGTATTTACAAATATGTTGATGTTCAGTTGTTCACAACTTCACATGACCACATGATTTTCATAAAAATATATTCTTAAAATAACTCTATAAAGTTATAAGTGTTCGGAAACTATTAATGAAATAAATATATATATGAAACATTGCTTTATAAAACATATCTAAAAACAAAAGGAGCATTTCATGAGACACAGCTTTACCATCATGACATATTTCTCCAATGTTGCTTTATAAAACATACTACCTCATGTCCTAAATATAAAACCCTGTTTTATTTTTATTTTGGTTCTAAATATAATAAGACCCTGATCTATTTTGTCTCTCATATTTATATTTTTTTTCTCAAAGTAGCCCTTTTAATAATAAGAGTTCTAGTCAATACACTTGATTAGCAAGGATATTTTAGGAAAGACAACGCCTATTTAGAACAAATAACTAATTCAACTTGCTTCCTTAATCTTCTTAAATTAGTCAATTGGCTCTTATAATTAGAACCAGAGGTAGTATCTAAAAACAAAAGGAGCATTTCATGAGACACAGCTTTACCATTATGACATATTTCTCTTTGTCCTTGTCCTAACAATATTGATATTAAATTTTTCATATTTAATATGTCAAGTTTTTTGGTCACACATTACTTAGCATACCAAATATAAAAAATTTGACTTAATTATTTTCGTATGCATATTTATAATATGAGATTTATCTTATATCAATTACGCATATTAGTATAATAGTGTGTGGGATGATAGATTCTTCAATCCAATGATCAAATTAAAGCGCATTGGTCCGTAAATAGGAGCAAAAGTTGGATAAACGTTGACCTCCTCTAACTTCTCAAACCTATCATTGATTCATACCCAGAACAGAGAGAGAGAGAGAGCGCGAGTGCAGGGGTTTTAACATCGCAAAGGCTTGTCTAACAATCTCATAGCTGGCCTGGTAATATAAATAAGAAGTTGTGAGTTCGATTATATCAATAATCTCAAATTATTATTATTTATTTCTTAAAATGAAAAATGGTCCTGATGGATTGCACAATTATATGTTGGTACTGTTCCTTCTTGTTAATATCTGACGTAGCCACACGTGCGGTTATATAACCGTTGTGTAAGAATGTCTAAGTCTTGAATATAATAAATAAATACTCTTCCGGTCCTTAATATAAGTCCCGTTTAATTAATTTGATTAGATTAAGAAAGTTAGATAAATTAACTAATTATAAAAAATGTGACATATTTTTCCTAGAATATCATAATCATCTTTCTTAATACCTCCCTCTCTCTTCTACTTGATTATGGTTGAGGGAGTATTCATAGGGTAATTTAGAGAAAAAATGATAAATATGATAAATGGATTTTATATTTAGGATAAAAAATAACTTAGCAATTAGGTTTTATATTAAGAACCGGAGGAGTAGAAGCATATTTCGCGGTATTGTATTTCTGCCTAGAAACTCGGAACTTTGGGAGGACAACAGGACCCAAAGGCCCAGGTTTTTTGGGCAGAAAAAGGCCCAGCGTTCTTTTCCTTGGTCCGCCCAACAATCTCTGGCATGTTAGGCCGCGCCTTCTTACCTATGTTTAAACACTAGAAACCTGCCCATGCCCAAAGACAAAAACTCTACTCTGCCATGCCTCATGCGAGATGCAAGAGTTCAAGTGATTCTGCTTAAATTTACTGTGGAAAAAAAAAGGAAGGAAAATCTTTCACTTTTTTTCTATTACGGTTAATTTAAACACACACAAATATGTTAAAGTCAAGTTCAAATTGAAAACCTCATCCAAATATGATAAGTAACACTATCACTAGAATGACTTGTTACTTACGTATTTTTTATCTCACATAACATGAACATACACATTTGAATGTTGGTACGAAAACATGATATTTTCTTGTTCAAATGGAGTATTTGAGTCGGTGTAGTCAACGGAATAATGGTGGGAGTTAATTGGGCTTGACCAAAATATAAAAGATAAGGGCCAGCACACCCAAAAATTACGTACGCAAGTTGTAAGTGATGGGATGCAGAGGGGCAATTAATATGGAAGGAGGCTTTCCATGACGAAGATGTGTCCCCAACTTCCATCATTACTGCCACCATTATTTTCTCCTTCAAATTACATTAATATTTATTCCTAACTTCACCACTCCCTTTATCACTTGCCATACAAATGGCTTAATGTTGTGCATACGAGATTATCGCTAAGTGTATTTCACGTTTTGTAATAAGTCATGGGAGTTATTAATAATAATAATAATTAATGATTTGCCATTGGTAAAGTGGGAGGGGTCAGAAGATTAGTGTTGGTGGAATTATGAAGATGATACAGAGGAATTAGCTAGACGGGTGGGATGTGTGGGGACGGTATGTAGTGTAACGATCGAGAATGATAAACGTGACTATTTGATTTTCTTATATATACTATTCTATTACCGTATATTTTACTTTTGTTGGGTGGGGGATTGGCATCTAACAAGTTGATAAATCCAATGAAACTTATCAGAAAAAGACCTTTTTTTAATACTCCCCTGGTACATTTTTTTAATCCTATTTACTGGGTATTGAGAAATTTTTTTTAATATAGATAAACAATTTTATCCTATATTTACTATTATATTGACTTTGTTTACATAAGATATAATGTATACTCAATAAGACTAAAGTTGAAAAGTTGTTAAATTTTAAATACTAACCCCGGTTCTTAATATAAGACCTCGTTTGATTTTTATTTTGCTCCTAAATATAAGACTCCAATTTATTTTGTCTATTATATTTATCCATTTATTTTCAAGATAATCTTTTTAATAATAGTAGTTCTAACTCATATATTTAATTGGTAAAAATATTTTAGGAAAGTCAACCTATTTATTACAAATAACTAACTTAAATTATTTTTTTAATCTACTCAAATTAGTCAATTAGCTCTTATATTTAGAACGGTATGCCATAAGAGTTAATAAAATTTAAGATTTTTTTATATAAAACATATTGAAAATAATTTATAAATAGTAACAGATGACTATATTCATGTGAACTCCGACTTGAGATTCCACTGCTCGGCCAGCCAAAACTGACTCCATTGAAAGTTGAAACTAATGCATGTCGGTATAAATGTATAATATGACTTTTTTTTTCTCTCTCTCTCTCTCCACATCACCAAACTGCTTCTATTATCTTTTATTAACATGGATTTAATCATAACCACGTGCTTCGCAAAAAACCAAAAAAGAAAAGCTTAAAACCTGTCATTCTTAGCTGATAGACTTATTAATGTGGCAAGACAAATCTTGTGGACTTGTAAATTAATTAACTAACTATATACTCCTCCGATCCTAATTATAAAACCCAATTAATTTATTTGAGGAGATTAAGGAAGTAAGTTAAGTTGGTTATTTATAATAAATAAGTGTTGTCATTCCTAAAATATCCTTACTAATTAAGTATATTGGCTAAAACTATCATTATTAGAAGGATTATCTTGGAAAAAAATACATAAATATAAGAGACAAAATGGATTAGGGCCTTATAATTAGGACCAAATAAAAAGTCAAATGAGGTTTTATAATAAGTAGCGAAGGAGTATATTACTTAGAGGCCATAAGAAAGCGGACGCATTAAAAATCTGGCTTATCCATTAGCACGCAAAATAAAACAAACTGCAGAATCTTATGTGAATTTCGGAATTTGTCGCGAACCTTACTTATAGAGAGAGTTTTCTGAATGAAAACAAAAACAGGTTTATATGTAATTATTTATATTTTTGTTATCATAGTCTATCGTCGAGTTTTTCAACAACAAAATGATATGTCTGGATATTTATGCAACTTGGCGGGGGGAAAATGATACTTGGATAAGTGTCTAAAATATACTAATATTTATATAAGCATAATAAATAATCGATATAAAAATATAATGTTTTGAGTCATCCAAAATATAATAATATTTTTTGACAAAACTAATAGATTCCATCTTACACCAAAAATATTTTAGGACAGACAATACATATTTATTATAAATAACTAACTTAACTAATTTTTATAATATTCATAAATTAATTACCTAACTCTTACCACTCTATTCTTTATTATAGGTCACTTGTGCCCCAAAAGTTTGTTTCAAAATATAAGTCACTTGTAGTATAATTAATAATCTTTTTCTAATTTTACCCCTGTTAATTTAATAAAAATTATTTAATCTCTCTCTCAACTTTTCATTTCCTATACAATCCATCCCCTTCCCTTCTCTCTCTCAATTTTTAATAAAAATAAATATGAAAAAAAACTGGTTAATTTAATGTATTTTTTAGTTTGCAGGTTTGAAATAAAAGTGAATTATAATAAAGAAGAGAGTAGCACATTAAGAATTAAAAGTAGCATATTCATATCACATAAGCATAATAAATGATTCATTGAATTCCAATAATGCTTTTACTCGTGTGTCATGAACACGCACAGAATCCATTTCGTGCTGCCTGGGGCAAAATTAAAAGCAAGTTTGAAACCAGGAGAAGGAGGAGATCACACGTGTGAGTGAATCCAGAGGTGAAGAAGATAGGCCTTGAGAACGTAGGCTGGAGGAGGCCCAAGTTTGCAGTGCAAACAGAAAGCGCAAGGCAATTAATTAAGTCTAATTAAATTAAATGACACCTAAATCCAAAGATATTAATTTCACATGGTTTGAAATGACAAGGGACAATCAATCCGGTTGATGTTGTTTGCTTATAACTGATCAGCTTTCCGTGCCTACCTGAATTAACCCATATTTGATTCAGTTTTAACCATCAGAAAGCGAGAGATTAAGAAAGCAGTTGGTAATTAATGAACATGACTTTGATGGGACTTTGCACGGTGCTAGTTCTAGAGACAAGGGCAGGTGGCCTTCTCCAAATGGACGTCCCAAGGCAGGCTTGATTTAGTTGACAGAAATAGAAGTTATATCGCATAACACGTATATTCAGAACATGGGGACAACTGATTTAAAGCAGGGTTTTGGACTTCCCGGCTCCAATTGTTAGCTTTTAGGCTATGATTTTGTGAAAGGCATGTGCTCATTATAACAGTATACTTGACTCAATTATCATAAGTTTTATATTCAAGTTTTCTAATTCTCACAGCTAGTTTTTAAAATATGGTTATTTCAAATATTCACATGTACTTGTTTTATGACACTAATAACCTAAAATCATGTTATCTTTGATTTTATTTATAAGCGTTTGTTTGTAAACTGTAAATAAAATCTTGTAAATAGAACCGACAGTAGTAGTGAGTAAGATCAAACTTGTAACTTTTTGTTTACATGAAAACTTTCATATCACTCGGATTCTAATCTAACCCAAGTCCAGGCGTTGAATGGTTAGTGGCGAGATGAACGTAAGATGTGAAGTTTCGAATAAAAGAACAATTTTTGGAAGGGAACGCGTTTCCGTTTTCAATTTTCATACAACGTCTTCACTGTCCTGGAAAGGATACAGGGCCACATGACCTTCACCGTGTGGCTCCTCGCTTTAACGTCTTCACACGCCACACAGTGTCACTCTCACCAACCTTCGTCCCTATTAATGCCATGCATCCCTATCTTCCTTAACAAAGTAGGGACGTCATTGTCCTTGAAAGCAACACCCCAAAAAAAAAAACCCTCACTCTCACTCGGTTTTCGTGATGTTCTCAAACACTTGTCCGCATATCGACAACAGGGTTTTCTCCACTCAATCGTCACCGAATCCTCAACCCTCGGATTAGCAAGGTTTGCCCGATTAATCCACCTTTAACTGTTTCCCCCCTTGTGAGTGGTGTTTAGTTATGTGTGATGACAGGGAAATTGGTCTGAGAATTATCTAGCTGTATTCTGATTGCTGTTTACACCGAAAAGGTAGCTTGCCCTTGGGCTGGTCTTATCATGCTGACTCGTAACTTTCAAGTTTCAAGTCTTTGGATTAATATTGCACTAATCGAAATGGGGTTTTAAAATATCAGCCTTTGGTAGGAACATTTCAATGTTGCAATCAAACGAGCATGAAAGGGGCTTCTGATGGTCATGGTCCCATGTGATTTTCTTTTGGGATATGAATTATTTCAGTTTCTATGCAAAAAAATATTGCAATCAAATAATGGACGTTCGATGAGAAAGATAAGAAGACGCTGAGATTACTTCAACCTTAAATTAATTGTTGAGTGGGAGAAGGATTTGGTGCTCAGAATAAGTACTCCTTTAAATAAGCTGTTGTGAGATTAGGTGGGATCAGGTCCCGTAATCAAAATTCCCAAAACGACCTTTTTTTCCGTTTTCTTTTTATTTGCTTCATCCTTCTCTTGATTCCTTGATTGAAGTCTGTGTGTGTCATGTCTCACACCAATTATGAAAATGAAACAAAATAACAAACAAGCTATCTGTCTTACTTTCCCTTGCTCATATAGTATCTGTGTCCCAAGTTGCCTCTGCAACCGCTAAACATTACATAGCACCTGAACACAGTCACTGCCTCCAATCTCTACAGAGAAAATAATAAAAACCATATATACTTTACCTTCTTCTCCCTCTTTCTTCTGCATAAACAAGTTTGCTCTCCCTCTATCTCGCTCTCCCTCCCTCTCTTTCTCTCTCTTGTTCAATCTCCTGAAGAGTTGTCAGAGTCCTGTACATCAGAATTTTCAGGGCCTTCGAGGGTTTAGATTGGAATGGAGTGCAGAGTCTAAGACGCTATTCGGCGCCACTTGTCCTTTGTGATGGAAAATATGTTTCTTTGAAATTGAAAGCCTCTTCTGCCTGGTGTTTATGTTTCATTAAAGTAGAAACAAAATCATTTTTCCTGCATCAGAAGAAAAGATAAATCAACAACCAGCTACTGCTACACAAGCGTGGGATGATTTGTAAGGCTATTTGCTCAGATAACTCAGCTGACATCAAAAGGGTACGAGAATTTTGAGCTTTGTGATCGGAATCATTGGAGAACGCAAGAAGAGATCGGATAAATGGCTCGCCTACTGCTAAGCATGGATTCAACCTCATCCCCTCCAGGTAACGGCAACAGAACAGGGGGTTTTAACACAAGTGATGCCAATTTTGACACAAACATGGTGATTATACTAGCGGCCTTGCTCTGTGCATTAATATGTGCTTTAGGGCTAAACTCAATTGTAAGATGTGCTTTGAGATGCAGCAGCAGGTTTGCTTTTGAGACATCAGATGAAGCTGCAGCTCGTGTAGCGGCAAAAGGGTTGAAGAAGAGTGTTTTGCGTCAGATCCCTATAGTTGTATACGGTTCATCAGGTTCTACTGATATTGGAGCCACTGAGTGTCCAATTTGCCTAGGAGAGTTTGTGGATGGAGAGAAAGTGAGGGTTCTTCCAAAGTGCAACCATGGATTCCACGTGAGGTGCATAGACACATGGCTTCTCTCACATTCTTCTTGCCCTACTTGCAGGCAGTCTTTGCTTGACCAGCATAATGCAAGCACTTCTGGTTCTGGCAATGTATAGTTGTAGCTGTGGATGAGGTTTGCAATTCTTAACCCTCCACCGTCAACTCATCAAGATCTGTACCACAGAAAAAGAAAAGTTGGAAATAGAGATTAGGTTGTTTATAGCTTTCTATCTTGGGATTTTCTTTTCCTTCCTTTCTTTTTCTTTTTGGGGATTTGCGGTGCTGTTATTGTGATTTGTATGGAGATATCAGCCAGGTGAACATCAGTATTGCAGATTAAAATTTCCTGATAATGGTTTCTGAGTGGCCTTTTCACATTCAGTGCTTGTAAATGTTCTCTGTCCTAAAGCAAATGGTACTGAATCTTGAATGTTTGTTTCTTGCAAATTGATTGAAAGCCAAATGATACCCTCCTAGTAGCTTGGCTTTCCCTCCCTCAGAAGAATGAAAAAAGTGCATATGAATGGGTGCTTTGTTGAACTCTTCTTTTCTCTTTGGTAAACAAGAGAGAGAGAGAGAAGAATGTTCATAAACAGCACTTGGATCTCTGGTTGAGTTCATTTTAGAGTGATTTACCTGTAAATCCTACTTAACTGCAATGGTCCTTTCTCATAATCTTATTTGAGTTGAAGTGGTTGCTAGTGGACAATCTGATATGTTATGTCAGTATGAACAAGTATAGCAAGTGACTGAACAATCTCTGTTTGAGTCTATATCAGATTGATTCCTCATGAAAAATAATTTATTTTGCATATCAAAGCAGACATCAATCTGGCTTTTTCAGTGTGGATGGCAGATACCTTATCACATGGAAATTTACTATCTAATCCCAAATAAAACTAAAGGAGCACACCATGTCTAAACAAATACGTAAAAAATTTATGGAGCTAGGAGCTGTAATTTGCAACAATCACTAGAAGAAGCCAGTCAATTTATGTACAAAAGAAATAACAAGAAGAAATCTTTTTCACGCGTAAAGCATGCCTCACACTCTCAAGTCCGTTATCATTCAAAGTGATTGCAAAGTGCTCATAGCAGTTGTTTCAGCTCCCAGAGTTCCAGTGCGATTTGCATTCCAAATTTACGAAAGCCCAAAACATGAGATTCCTCTATCCTTCATGAAGCAGATCACAAGGCACAAAGAGCAGAGATATCTTTTTACTCTTTTCTTCTTCACTTATCTAGACATATTTGATACTCCAAATCCTTCTCATCACATTGCTATTTCATGAAAGACTCAGGTGACACTCAAAATGTTGTCATGCTGGCACCATTACGAGCACTGAAAATCCAAAACCTTTTTGATCTGCCAAAGTCTTATTAACGCTGAGTGGCCTCCAGGGAGGATTTATGATAAGTTCAGTTCAACTAGATGAGTGGAATTGAAATGTGAGGTATTTGATGGGCACAAATTTAGAAAGAAAACAACTATGAGTGGACATTGTTAGTTACAGAAATGTTGAGGAAAGGGAAGGAAGAGTGGAGAGGAAAAAGAAGTGAGAGAGGGGGGGCGAGCGAGGAAGTTACTTGGCTCGTTAGCTAGAGGAAGACAAATTCACTTGGTCTGCTATTATTTCTTCTCTTCTCACTGTTTGATTTGATGTGCAAATTGAGTACAAGGGCATAATTGATACAAAGGAATCATGATTGAAATTGTGCTGTGCTCTGCTCAGAGAATGGAATCTCAAACTCTAGTGTTTGCTTGATGATATTCTGTGGACTTGGGAGGCCCACAGTTTGAAAGCACAGAAAAGAAATTCATTGCAGCACTAACTTCGAATTTCGTCCAAGAAGTGAGAATTTGGGATGCAAAAATTGAAAGAGACGTTTTTATAGAAGGAATCCATTCATTATTGGACAATTAGTCATCACCTCCTCTCCTTATACTTGTTTCATGGCTTCCCATATCACATGTCTCAGATATTTTTTTTCCCTCTTTTTGGTTAAGGATTTATTCACTGTTAATATATGCTTTTCTCCATCTTCGTACGGCATCAAACTGGAAGATTCAAAATCCCAAGCTGTCATTTCACCCCAAAAAAAAAAAAAGCAAAGCCATCAAATTTCACTGTGGAAGTATTTTTCCTTTTTCGCTCTACTGCAAAATTATGTGTTACACAGAACCCACTTTAGCTAAAGATGATGCGTACTAATTATTGCTTATGTTAAACAAAATGAAGACACAGTCGTGTAACAGCCGAATGATAGGGAGTTGTTAGGATCATCCGTTTTAAGGAAAGATTAATAATGGGCTTTGAGCCCATTCACGTAGATTTTTTCAGTGGATGAGGCGGGCCGAAGCGTTAACGAACTCATTCATGGTTATGTATTTCAGGCTACCAACAGAATTTGATTATAATAGAACTCGTTAATCTCTCGTAATATAATGAACTAAGGTTCAAAAAACTCCCATGAGAGATGCTAATATTTAATGTCCGTAATGTTTTGAATAGCAAAATAGCTATGCTTAGCCAAAAAAGAAAAAAGAAAAAAGGTTGTGAGTTTTATTTAACTTGCGTTAGCTTCCGCTCCAGTTAGGGTAGTACCTGGTTGTCCTTGAGTCAGATCTTTCCCCTTGCACTCTTTTTATTTATTTATTTACGCCTATTTAAAACATGATAAAAATAAAAGATGAACATAAAAACCCCACAATTTGTCTTTGCTTCTTGTCGCTTTTGTTTCATCATATCGAACAATAGTACAGATGGGACCGGACTCTATTGTCTCTTGTTCGTTTAGCTCAAGACAACATTCTGTGTGTGATGTATTTCTCTCGTGTAGATTCACATGTTTTCTGTATTAAGTTTGACATATTCGACGGCAACAATGGAGTATGTTCATCTCTTTCTCTGTGTATTTGAAACACACACACACACACACACACACACATCATTCCTAATCGAAAATATTTAGCAATTACTTGAAACATTTTAATTATTATGTTAGCAAAAGTATTAAGAACGTGTTTGTGTGTGTTTTTCTGATGAGTTCTGACTCTCAAACTGTCTTATGTAGAGCTTGACTTGAGCTGCATACAAATTAAACTTGAGTTCGCGGGACTGAGTTTTGAAATTCACAAATATCAAGTGTTTGTGTGTGTGTTGTGGCCATATTGTAAATTTTGAGATTGACCAACCAGCTGTCAATTTCAAAATTTACAATATACTGTTGCCTTGGTCAGCGCTTAATATAAGAGCTGATAACTAATTTACAAATACTAAAAAAATTATTAAGTTAATTATTTGTAATAAATAAATGTTACTTTTTTTAAAAAAAAATACTCTTATCAATTATGTGTATTAAAATTACACTTTCATGAAAACTCCTTATCATGTGCAATTTCTATAAAAATCACTTGAAGGCAAAATTGATAAATATTAGAAACAAAGTACATTGAAGTTTTGTATATCTATGAATAAATTGAATCTCCAATTAGCTCTTATGTTAAGGAATAGAGTTGTTATTTAATATATGACAATACTTGGTTCAAATTACTTATATTCATTGTATCTAATTCTCCAATCATCAAATGTTATATTTTTTTCATATGAATTTATAATTAAATGATAATATTTTTTTTAAAAAAAAGGATATGTGATGGTGCGTGAATAAAGAACTTAACATAATACATATAAGTAACTCAATATAATTAGAAAAAATTACAATCAAGTCCCATAAAAGAGAAATAATTACCAAAAGATTCAAATAACAATATCAACAGCTTATAATGACAAGTCCTATAGTGAGAATGATAATCTTTGGGACTTATTTTTCAATTGTTTTCCTTGCTTGTGACCTCATTGTAATTCTCCCATATAATTATTTCTACATAATAATTATTTTCTATGTATGTAGATATATACTCTTATGCTACAAGTAATTAAAGATCATTAATTTATAAAAATCACAATTATTCAATGGAGATAGCGTTATCAATTGCAGACTAAAACTGGGGATTATATATACACGTCCCATCTCTCTAGCTTGCAGAATTCAAATTTTGCGGGCAAAGAGATGAAGATGGAAACCCTAATATCTGCGTTCATTCTTGTCGCCTTGCTTTCTTCTTCATACCAGTATCAGCCATCAACAGCAAGATCAGTTTTCGCGAACGACTTGATCGATCAAGTGTGTCAGAAAACCAGAAATCCCAGTTTGTGTGAGTCCACCTTGGAATCAGATCCAAGAAGCGCCGGATCAGACACTAAGGGTCTGGCTCACATCGTGTGCGACAAGTCGCTGGATAACGCCAACGAAACCTTATACAAAGTAGTCCCAGAATTGGTCGGAAAGGCCAGAGAAAAAGCTGTCGTCGACAAGCTCCAGAGTTGTCGCCTGATTTATGCTGTGATAGTAACTGATGTATCATCGGCCGTCGCACAGTTGGATTCCGGTAAGAATGATGTGGCCCTTTCTTATCTGGAGATCGCTGCCAATGGTACTGATTCCTGTGAGAAGGTTTTCACTTTGGTGCCTCCGAAGATGAAGTCGCCTTTATCTGATAGAGACAACCCTCTCATGTCTCTCATTCATATAGCTCAAGATATCATTCACTTGCTTGTTTGATTTGTATGTTTTGTTTTCTTGTAATACAGGATTCCCATCTAATATTTATTAAAGCAATAAGGTTTGGTAATAAGGGATATGTGTTCTTGATCTTGCAAATATCTCATAATTTCGGGGAAATCAAAGCGCTGTGTATATACTATAAAATTTATAGCATGTACAAGTCATCAATACTTAAAAAAAAAAAAAAAAGGAAGCGAATTAGCCGATTATGAAGTTTACAAATTTCACCGTTAAATTCGCTATTTTTGGTCTAGTATTGCTACTTTTCAAATTAAGTGTGCCCCAAGACAAATTTGATTTGTCGTTATTAAGTGGATAGTATTAGTACCGAATTCTAAGAGACGACTTCCTTTAAATCTTAAATACAAAGTCCGTTTAAGAGTTTTGATTATCCTTATTTTGTTTGTTGTTGTAAAATCTAACATCCTGCTGGAACAACCAAATACTACATTATAGCTGAAGCGTTTTTGCTCATTTTTCATGTGATTCCTATGTATAGATTTATTTATTAATCACCTGTAACACGAGGAAAACACATGGAATTGTCCGCTTCTTGAATTGTTGCATGAACTATAATGTGGAAGATGAGGAAAGTGCATGGATTTTTCTTTTATTTCATCTGAATAATAGGAACACCGTTTTTTTCTATCTCGAATTTGCATAGACTGAGTAGGGACTAGCTACAGAAGTAAGAAGACGGGCTAACAAAACAAAATGTGAAAGGAGGTTGGAAGTAATTAATGTTATGATAGGAGAGAAAGGACTAAGTTTAACAGAATAAATTAGTTCTTGAAGAATCAAGATTCGAATCCTCATTAAGAAAGGTATCCATATTTATTGTTTTAGCGGGTTTTTGGGAGTAATTGCACAGTCTCCCTGTGTCTAAAGTCTCCTATTTACAGGTAATAGTAAAGGCTAACCTGTTGCTGGTTCCTTGATCTCTGACAAGTGATTAGTGGGTGCTGTACGTTTGTTGCGGCGTGAAAGTTTTTCTTTTCTTCGGCGTGTAAGTTGTAACAAATTCTTTTTTGTTGTTTCGTGGGGCTAATGCTTCTTTTCTTTGACCCGCACCACTTTTCCTTCTTTTGGGCCATTCTTGGGGCCCAATAAGTTTTTGTCCAGAAGCAAAAGGAGTGTGCGAGTGGCGAGCCCAATTATATTTTTTATCTTGTTCTAATAAAGTTGCCTTTATTTTTTTATTAAAAAAATGGAGTGTACGCATGTTGTAGCGCGCGTGCATCACATGATTAATAATGGGGTTAGATTTAGTAGAGGAAATTAATCCCTCACAAGCCAAGATGTTACATACATATGCTGGTCAATTTTTAGAGAAAGCTATACATTTTAATTTTTTAATTATAATTTAAAATTATAAATTTTTTAATTTAAAAGTATCTCAACATATTCACTTGGATATATTTTTTTTAATCTATTTGAAATTTTAATGCAAATTTTAACTATTTTATTCAAGTAAGAATTAATTAGTTTAAATCTTAGCCTGCCAAAAAGAATAGCTTTGAATGTAATTCTAGACAACTATTGCAGAATACTTCCGAAGAGAGTTGTCACCAGTTCGTCATCTACTCACCTTCCCCTTCCGGTCAAAAAACTCACCTTCTCCTTAGCTTACTAAGGGCTGCACGTGGATGCGCCCGGTTTATGCCTCCACACTTCGATGACGAAGAGGGTTTAATGCAAATAAAATTACTTGTTATTAAAATTTGTTGACTCCATAAATAATAGTAATATAATATTATCTCGCGTTCTTTTTTTTGGGTGCCAACATATTATCATCTTTTCTTAATATAAGAAATAGTCAGGAGTTTAATTTGATTAGATATATTACATTTTAATTCATTTTAATTTTTAAATTTATATACTTTTCAAATATTTTTATTGAGTTATTTTTATCAAGGAATATTTCTAACGCATATAATAAAATAGGTATTCTTTGTTTGTTACAAATAACTAATTTAATTTATTTTTTTAATATTTTAAAATTAATTATCTAGCTTTTTTATTAAAAAAATTAAAAAGTGTAATATTTATTTATAGAAGTGGAAAAATCAACATTGATCTATCAATATATATAATAAATTACTTAAAAATAATGACCACTGTTTAGGTTTAATTTGATTTTGATATAAAATGGAATCCAATCAAAGTTATAATTATAAACAACCTTTGTCACATGAAGAGTTTTTTTTCTGTAAATAACAGGGGATAATTTTTTTTTATTTTATTTTTACAACAAATAACGCAACTCGCAGCGCCATTGCTGATGTGGCATTGCATATACTGACGTGTCACCCGCACCTGATTTTATTGGACAGGATTGTGTACACGCCAATGCCATATGTGTGTCCGCCCTCAATATCCATGCACTTTTCGCGTGAAACCACGTGCCCCTCTTCATCCTTCTCCCAGGCAACACACGCAATGCCATCCGCCAATCACACACGCTCACTCTTTCCTTTCTCTTTTGCTCCAATCCATCGTCACCGTCCATCAAGAAATCGATCTGAATTAGGAGAGGATTGCTCCATAATCTAATGCATCCGTCCGCACAGAAACTCCACCTGCAGTTTTCACCACATTTCTCGCGTGCAAGCGATGTTTCCTCTTTAAACAAGGAATCCCAATTGGAGCATTCGATATTTCAAAAATTAATTTAAAATTTAAAATTAATAATAAGCGACGGTTTAGACTGTACCCTGGAACTCTTATATCTAATCTTGACCGTTCAATCTCCAAGAGAATCTATCACGATAACTAAATCCTCCCTCGCTTTTCAATCTTCACTCGTCTTCTTTACAAATACCTGTTGCAAGCAATTAGCTATATAACTGGTCTTCTGCTCGTTCTTGCTCCTCTTCATCCGATCCTTCTTCCTCCTTAGCCATTCGATTCTTTGTTCAGACTTGCTCCTCCCGCCATCCCACTTGATGGCGTTTTCGCTCCGCATTGGTTGCACGGGCAGTAATCATGGCTTTGCCAGGTTCGGCATCGACAATAATTGGTGTAGTCTCTGTGGCGTTGCGCCACGGCCCATGTCTGTGATGTTCGCTGCCGATCAGAGCAGTTCGAGAGGACAAAATAGGAGGATCACGGCGGCGGCCGCCACCTTGACCGCCGCGCCGGCCATGGCGGCGACCGGTTTCGAGAAGAACTATTTGAGTTTCGATATGGAAACGCGTGGCTCTGGCGATCGGGCAGAAGGAAAGGACGCTGCCGACACGATCGATAGGTTGGACAAGTGGATGAGGGATTCTGTGGTGGAGATCGTCAAGAATTTGAGGGAAGCGCCGTTGTTAGTGCAGGTTTTTCCGACGGGGTATATTGACGGCGATAACAACAATGATGATCATATGATAACGACGACGACGACAACGGCGACGTTGGTGACAGAGAAGAGGGCAATGGAGGAGAATTGGCCAGAGGCGAAGGAAAAATGGCGACGGGATATGGCGCTATTGCCGGAAGGCCTTATATTGGTGGAAGAATTGACCGGCGACGATCAGACTGGGAAAGAACGACCAGAAGGGGGGGAAAACACGACGAAGGTGTGGGGGGTGGTGGTTCAGGGAAGACGGGCGGGGTGCGGGCCGGCCTGCTATTTGTTGAAGACAACTCGGGTCGGGTCAAGCCAGTCGGGACCCTTTTGCACCCATTATTGCTTAACAAGGGTGAAGAACTTGATGGAGACAGTGGATTCACAATTCAAGAATCTTTGGCTAACTCAGAGCCAGAACCAGTGAATGATCAAGTAATTTTATTCTTTAGATACTTGATTAAGTAACTGTGCACAATATAAATAAGATTCATCCTGCGGTGTGCCGCATGACCTTATTCTGGCCATGATTTTGCGGATGTGTACAGAGTCAGTGACATAGTGAAATATTTTTAAATTACTATTGGCATCCATTTTTGAACATTAATATTTCATGTTTCATTCTCTAATTTATTCTTCGTTGCGGAGTACTCCTCCGGTCTTAATTATAAGACCTAATTGATTTATTTGAGGAGATTAAAGAAGTAAGTTAAGTTGGTTATTTATAATAAATAAGTATTGTTATTCTTAAAATATCCTTGCTAATTAAGTATATTGGTTAAAACTATCATTATTAGAAGGATTATCTTGGAAAAAAATACATAAATATAAGAGAGAAAATGGATTGGGTCTTATAATTAGGACCAAATAAAAAGTCAAATTGGGTCTTATAATAAGGACCGGAGGAGTATTTTCAATCGATGGGAATTTTATACTGTACTTTGTTATGATTTTCGATAATGTTGCTTATTTGCTTTGGTGTGGCTGGCTCTTGTGGCTGTCCGATATCCATACGTCATTGCTTCTGAGTTAGCTTTGTGCGGCTGGGGTCACTGCGATCCAATTATTCAAACATTCCAGTATCACATCAATTATTTTCAGCCATTAATTGTTAATTAATTATTTTATAACTGTTTCTAACACATTCCAGCAAATAAACAATAAATAACGACTGGGGGAACCACGTGCATGCTGTATTAGTCGCCTTCCTACGATGAATCTTTGCGCACATTCCCCAACACGGACTCTTTGTTATAAATGAATAAATAAATAATTAAATAGAAGCCTATACTTTTTGTGGGGGGGGAAAAAATTTTTGCAGGGACAAAATTAGCAAATGAATATTATAAATTGATTGCTCAAATCATTATTTTAGGAATGACTTGGTATGGAATTGCTTATAGGTGGGGGGAGCATGTCGGAGTAGTCATTGTTTCTTAGCAACATGATCTGGATTAATATTTTACTCCTTTAATTTTTAATATCAAACCTAATTATTAAATTGATTTTCGTACATATTTCTTATATTATCAGTTTTTTTTAAAATTATATTTATAGATACTTTCTTAACCATAATCAAGTAGAAAAGGGAGGGAGGATATTAAAAAAGATGGTTATGGTATTTTAGAAAAAACATGTCATTTTTTTTATAATTAACTAACTTATCTAATTTTTTTTAATCTAATCAAATTAGTTAAATAGGTCTTATATTAAAAACTAAATTATTTAATCACTGCCAGATATTCAAGACCAAATAGGTCTTACTTCAACTCAGCTCCTCTTCTCCTTGCTGGTGATTTTAATGCTACCCTCAGCTCTACTGAACGCCGTGGTGGCTCAGAAAAAAGGAGGAAGGGCTGCCCTCATTTCCAGGCCTTTTGCAACAACAATAATCTAGTGGACTTGGGCTACTCTGGACCCCATTTCACCTGGCGACGAGGACTCACTTTTGCACGTCTGGACCGAGCCCTCTCCAACACAGCCTGGATTCACACCTTCCCCAACTCGAAGATCCTACACTTGGCCCAAATTAATTCTGACCACAGACCCCTCCTCATTGACCTTGGGACGTCTCATCGGTCAGGTAATTCCACCAAACCTTTTCGTTTTTTGGCTGCCTGGGCTAACAATGACTCCTTTCCACAACTAGTCAAAGATAATTGGTCGAACGAAATCAGTCTCAAAGAAAATATTAATCAATTCACACAAGCAGCCTCACTTTGGAACAACGAAGTCTTTGGTCTCATTGGCAAACAGAAACACCAGCTCCAGAAACGTATTATGAGAATCCAGCGGGATCTTGAAAGATCGCCTACATCGCCTCACTTGATCGATCTAGAAGAGTCGCTTCGCCTTGAGCTTGAAACCACATGTTTAAATGAAGAGCTCCTTTGGGCCCAGAAATCCCGCAGCAACTGGATTTGCCTAGGTGACAGGAACACCTCCTACTATCAAATGAAAGCCCGAATCAGAAGAAGAAGAAACCGCATCTCCTCCTTGAGAAATGATGAGGGAGATTGGATTTCAGATGAGCAGACGCTAATATCCATGACCAAGCAGTATTTCTCAAACCTCTATTCGGACAGCGAAGACCCAGTCACATATAATCACAGAGGCATGTTCCCACTTCTTCCCAGCTCTGCCTGGCTTTCCCTCGAAGCTACAGTCCACCCTGAAGAAATCAAGAAAGCCCTTTTTGGCATGAAACCACTGAAAGCCCCTGGTATTGATGGCCTTCATGCTTTCTTCTACCAACATTACTGGGGCACGGTAGGCAAGAATCTTTGTGACATGATCTCTCAGTTCTTCCAGCACGGGACTCTTGATGCATTCCATAACCGAACTTTGATCACTCTAATTCCAAAGATTGAGAGACCCCAAAGACTTAAAGAGTTTAGACCAATAAGCCTATGCACTGTCGCCTATAAAGTCATCACCAAGATCATTGCAAACCGCATGAAATCTCTAATGCCTGATCTCATCCTTCCTTATCAGTCTAGCTTCATAGCAGGCCGTAACATCACGGATAACATTATCATCGCACAAGAAGTAATCCATTCTATGAGAACGAAGAGTGGGAAAACAGGGTGGATGGCCATCAAAGTTGATCTTGAGAAGGCATTTGACCGGCTTAAATGGAATTTTATAGAAGACACACTGCGTGATGCTGGGTTCCCCGATTCTCTAGTCAAACTTATCATGACTTGCATCACCACCCCCTCAATGCAAGTCCTTTGGAATGGAACACCATCTACCTCATTTCAACCAAGTAGAGGGATACGGCAGGGGGACCCCCTCTCTCCCTACATCTTCGTGTTATGCATGGAAAGGTTATCCCAGGTTATTAATTCGGAAGTTTTTTGTGGCAACTGGAGCACCATTAGAATGGGAAGGAACGGCCCTCAACTTTCGCATCTCTTCTTCGCAGACGACCTTGTCCTGTTCAGCACGACCACTGCGAGGCAAATTAGATTAATCAAGAGGACGTTGACAGAATTTTGCCAATCCTCAGGACACGCCATAAGTGAAGCCAAGACAAGGATCTTCTTCTCCAAAAACGTTGGCAGGAGTGAAGCAAATGAAATCTGTACACAACTAGGCTACTCAAAGACTGAGCACCTCGGAAAGTATCTTGGTGTCCCTTTATAGCACTCAAGAGTCACCAAAGAGACTTACCGATTTATAATCAAGAGGTTGCAACAAAAGCTCACCAACTGGAAGGCCAAAACCCTCTCCTTAGCTGGTAGAATCACACTTGCCAAATCAGTCTTGTCTTCCATCCCCTTTTATGCCATGCAAACGTCGCTACTGCCTGTCTCTACCAACCACAAAATTGAGCAGATCATAAGAGGTTTCATATGGGGTTCTGATGCACAACATAGAGGTATTAGCCTGATCAACTGGACAGAAATGTGTCAACCACCTAGAAATGGGGGCTGTGGTCTGAAATCAATGCAAAGCCAAAACAATGCCTTTTTATCGAAACTGGGTTTCCTCCTTGTAAGCCGGCCTGAGCTCTTATGGGTTCAAGTTTTGCGTGCAAAATATAATTGGGCTCCAGAAACCAATCAAGGCTTCAACACCAAAGCTTGCTCACACATATGGCGAAGCATAGCTAGATCTTGGTCCATTACCTCCCTGGGCATCAAGTGGAAGATTGGAGATGGCACGAAAGTTAAGTTCTGGTCCGACTATTGGGTTGGAGATCTTGGGCCTCTTAAAAATCTTGCTTTCTCGGATATTGATGATACTTGTCTCCAAAGACCAATATCAGACTTTGTAGACAGCAATGGCCAATGGCGGTGGGAGCTTTTCATTGATTTGCTCCCCACTTTTATCAACCACATGATTGCCAGCATCCCCCCTCCCAGCCATGGGGATGGACTAGCGACTTGTTTCTGGAATCCCAACAAGGGGGGCAATTTCTCAGTAGCCTCAGCCTACAAATCCATTGAAGAGGACTCTTGGGACCCAGTTTCTAAGAAATGGAGCTTAATCTGGAAGTGGCCGGGGGCCCACCGAATTCAATCGTTCATATGGCTGGCTTATAAAGGAAAACTGCTCACAAATGTTGAACGAAAACACCGTCACTTAACTGAAAATGTGAACTGCGACTTATGCAACGGAGGACCTGAGGACATAAACCATATCTTCAGAGAATGTCCTCTAGCTGTTGCCTGCTGGAAGCACCTCGTTCCTGAGAGGCACCTCAGCAGCTTCTTGGGGAAACCAATTGGTGATTGGTGGCTTCATAACATAAGCCCATGCCGAGCCAACAAGACTTGGATCCTGAGATTTGGCATCCTCAACTGGAAGCTTTGGGAGGCTCGAAACAAGCGATTGTTTGCTGGAGAAGATTTCCGACCGGAAGAAATTATTGCTGTTACTGATGCCATCGTTAGGCATACTAATAGAGCTATGGATCTTATAGCTGACATTAATTTCCCCACTTGATCGGCGCTGTTTGCTTGCTGTCTCTTATTTTGGTTCTTTCCGTTTTGTAATTATTCTGGACTCCTTTTGATTGGTTAATTGATTTCCCTTTTCCACTCAAAAAAAAAAAAAACCACAGTTCATCTTTTGAGGGAGTCGATTAAACCCGCATGATCATCACGGTTTTATGCATGGTGTTGAATAATTGTCTCGATAACTACGAGTTATAAAATAAATTTATAATACTCCTCCGGTCCTTAATATAAGACCCATTTAACTAATTTGATTAGATTAAGGAAGTTAGGTAAGTTAGTTAATTATAAGAAAAGTGACACATTTTTCCCAAAATATCATAATCATCTTTCTTAATACCCCTCTCTCCCTCTTCTACTTGATTATGGGTGAGAGAGTATCTATAAGGGTAATTTAGAGAAAATTGATAAATATGAGAAATGGGTTTTATATTTAGGACCAAAACTAACTCAAGAATTGGGTCCTATATTAAGGACCGGATGAGTATTTGGTTTTAAAAAAGCCGTGTGTTGCATGAGAAACTGGTCAGGATGATTGAAGTCCGTTGACAGGATAAAAAATTCAGTAGGGTTTGTCAATTCCATTGACCCGCTTGCACTCTGAATTTTAAGTCAACTTATGTTTCATGTTTCAGAAGGGGAAAAGTTATTTTTAAAATAAATGAATAAAATGAAAGGTTAAGTTTGTATGTTAATATGCTGAAAATTAATGATATATTTTATAACCTTAATTAGGATTGTATAGGGTTTTTTTTCTCTCTCTCTGGGTAAATGCTCTCCTCCTTTAAACCAAAATAATGGCATCATACTGAATGAACATCAGGGTAAAAAAAAAAAAAAACGAGGCAGCACACTAAAAAGCAAAACCAAGGAAAATACAAATTGAAGTCCATAAAATAAGAGGGAAAATGGTAAAATACAGCTCCATACCCCAAAAATCAGCACTATGACTAGTTCCATGTGCATTAGAAAACCAAAGTATGGCTAGAACCGTAGAGGGAGAGTCCCATGCTTTAATTGCTTGAATTTGGTGTGATCCAGACAACGTTTTTTTTTAAAAAAAAAAAAATTAAACTGAGTACAAACTAACGACTATAAGAAGAAATGAAGGTCAAAAGAAGTTAAACAATTCAGAAAACAAGAACTCTCATCATCCCTCATCTCCCTGCAAATCGAAAGAGGGAGGTTGATCAAAGACTTTATAACTTCCTGCTATCTTGTGAGTGGTTTTTGCCAAATAAACCGTGATGGACAGTTCTTCGCGATCCCTGTGCCTAATCAGAATTTGCCACTCCCTACACAGTAGCATTCAGGCTTCCTCCGCTACATCACGATAACGTTGGTTTCGATTACATCCTCAGACATCCAAGTCGAGGGCCTCCAGACAATCTAATACAAGATGAACTTTTCTAAAACCCCTAACCCAACTGAGGTATAATCTCTGAGTAATACTGATGAGTTCCGTGATAGTTGACGGGAGTCTAGAAAGTTTACAACTAAACCCCACAGTCAAATTACCATCTTTACCTTTGATCACCCATCCACAACTACTATTACCATTACTTAGGATAACATTGATGGATGGGTTTGTGACTTTAGCTGCAAACGCACAAGAGCTCCTCCTACCATTGCTTGGCCCACTGGTTTCCCAAATGGGTTTAGCCTCTGTTTGTCCAAAGGTTTTAGAAAAAGTTGTCTTTCTTCAAGCCGCATTGAAGCAATAAATCTTGCTTCTAGAGGATGCGATAGTGATCACCCTTTCAAGGACTTGGTTAATGATATTATGTTATTAGTTCACAGGACTGACGAGTTATTTTTATCATGTTCCTAGGGAATTTAGTTCTCTCATCCGGTTAGCGAAACATTCTTGTTAACTTTTGTATTCTTGATCATTTTTTAATCCTTTGAGCAGAATAGTAGACTGGTTCTCTTTCTTACGCATTTTCCATCTTGATCATAGATTCAGTTTTTTGTTCAGAAAAATATGGCGTGTCTGCGGGCATGGAATATTGTTCAATGCAATTGATTTCTTATGCTCTTAATTTATTTTAAACCATATTATTTTATGTATAAATCACCATAATCATGTAAATATAAAATATAATTCAATGTTGAAAAATAAAAAAAATACATGATAAATAAAGCAATCAATACGAAACTTACAGTATGAAATGAAACAAATATACTATCTACAACGGGATGGATATTTTATTGTACGTCTCAAATCTGTGAAGCACACTAAAACAAACATCCTAATTTAAATTTAAATAACAAGAAGATATGAAATTCAGGAATTTTTTTTTAGTGAAAAAGGGATATCATCATTTTTTTTTGCTATGTATAAATATTTTTCTATTAGAAATAATCCTATTTAAGATATTATTGGATCCTAAATGTGAATATCTCTCTTACCGGAGATTTAAATTCTGATTCGTCATATTATAAAAGACTACTTAAGAGGTATTATTATAAAAACAAATATATTTTAAAAAAAATCATCCCTCTACATCTCAAGTTCAATACTTGTCAGTTGTACTCCAAAAAAAAATAAAAAGATCATCGATGACACCACACAATTGGATGCAGCCCAAAAGAAAGTTGGGTTTGGGCCTTTTAAGCACAGCAACCAAACGCGACAGGAGTAACGTCGTTTATGTGGCAAAAATGGCAGACGACACGAGTGATAATTGTGTTCGACGTGGAGCGCAAACTACAGTGACTCCCTCCAACCCCCGAGCTTTTTTGAATTTGAACAAAACCCAGGGAGGCCTTTTTGGCGTCTCCCTCCTAGTGACGCCCAACAAGTTCTCATCTAATCCATATCTCCTACCCCATTATTATTATTCTTCGTCATGCAACGTTTCTAAACTCTGAGCGCGCTCACTTTCTCACTCTCTCTCTCAATTCAAATCAATTCCCCATTATACCACTTCAATTACACTTCTCGACAAACTCCACATATCCCTTTCCCTCCTTCCCTCCCTGGCCAATTTCAGAAACCCTAATCCAACCTACTCATCCAATTCCATCGATCCACTTCACTTCCGAGTCATTCATCATTGACAGCACTGAGATCCGTTTTTCGGTCACAGCGGTTTGATTGATGATTCAAACCAATTTTTGGCGGTGCAAGTGTTTGGATTAAATTGGGTTCAGAGGATTCATGGATGAGGAGAGCAATTCGATGATAGCACCAGGGAAATCTTTGACAACCTCGAGATCAGATTGCAAGGTAGGCATCTCCGGTTTTTGGGTTGTCCTGGATGAAGTTCTCTATTTTCTTACTCGTCTTCTGCTTCATTCCTCCGGGTGTTTTAGGCCGTCGGAGAGAAGCGTCCAAGCACGACTCATTTGGGAGAGAACAATGAACTGTCTCGAAAAAGAGTGAAAATGAGAGATCTTGAGTCCGTGGTTCAATCCGCAGGTTAGTCTGAGTGAACGATGATATTTCGTATGCTTCTGTCCATTCCTAATCAAGCAAAGGTCTAATGATTTGTTTTGCAAAGAATTGAGCTTTATGAAACGCTACAGTTGAAATGTTGCTTCGACACTAGCACATTGTTGGTTTCTAATGATATAATTGATGTTTTGTAGAATGATTAGGTAGTACTTCCTTGCGGCTGGGCAGGGAGTTGCCGAGAGCAAGTAGTATGCGATTTTGGTCGATTGGGTTTATATTTTAATTCATTCACAATAAATCGCTTTCCCTTTCAGCCAGGAAAGGAAGTAATTATATGAGTCATACTGCGCATATGCTTGTCTTAGATCGAATTTAATTTATTCTGCTTATGCTACAGAAACTAATACCCGTCCTCAAGGGAGTTTTAGGGACAAAGAACATAAATTTCCATTACCGTCGAGTGAAAATGATATTTCACAAGTGACAGAGGTCCCTTTACCTCTGGAACACACTGCTTCTCAACCGGAACAAATTGGAAGGAGCACATGCTCGGTAGAGGTTAGTCCTGTCGTCAGATCACTTGATCTTAATTCCGAAGCACTCTGTCCCAGAAATTCATCCTGTGATGGAAGTGGTGAATGTGGCAAGAATCCCGCCAAAGTATCCTTTCTTGGGAAGCACGATAGGGAGCCCCTTACTACTTGTGTGAACTCCAAAGGAATTGACGTTGATCTTAATGCAGAAGATGTTACAAGCTGTATAAATCTGGGCTCGGCACAGTCTTTCAAAGAACACGATCAATTTAAGTCAAAGGACGTTTCTGAGAGTGGTAGCTGTACTGGGCCTTTAAAAGAAAAGGATCCCATGAGATTATGGAGGGAGATGAAGCGAAATGGTTTTCTTTCATCTTCTCATGGAGGTATTCCTATGCCAAGCAAACGTGGTAGAAAAAGTAAAAATGATATCCTCAAGAAAAAGTTAGAACTTGCAAAAAGGGAACAAGTTGACAGGTTCTCAAAGATTGCTGCTCCAAGTGGACTGCTGAATGAGTTAAACCCGGGGATTATTAATCACGTAAGAAATAAAAAACAGGTCCATTCGATTATAGAGGCTATTGTGTCTGAAAAGCATGAAAATGCCAACGTCGGATGCAAGCAAGCAGCACATTTTGCAGGTGAAAGTACAGAAGTTAGCAAAAGGGATTTCGAGTACGTAACAGGAACAGGAAAGCATCAGCATTCCTTTCATCGAGAAGAAGGGACCGTGCACCATTCTGCTGGTAGTAGGAAGGCAAAAAAGTATCCCATGGCAACGGATGATTCTTGGACTTTGGAGGGTAAGGTTGGTGAAAATGACAGATGCTTGGAGGAGAAAGAAAGGCTTAAAAGTTGTGGATCACAATTCACTCATCTCGCCGAAGATGACATTTTAGCTCTGAAATTGTCTTCAGCGAAGGCATCTGTGAGTTCTAGCTCTATGTCAAATGAGGAATCATCAAACTTTCCTAGCGTTTCGTCTCTTTCCCTGAAAGGCTAGTGTCACACTTTCCTTCTACTTATGCAATATTATTATTTCTTTAAGATTTATATTTAGCCCCCCTCATGCTTTTTTCGTTCAGACATTCCCGCTGTAGAGATAAAACAGATGGAAAATTTAGTTGTTTGAAAGTTAGCAATCAACGTTGTATTAAAAAATTTATGCTTTAGAATTGGCCTCTTAGATCATCATGCATTCGGGAGAGATTTTAATCTATCATATTTCACCTTGCCAATTGCGCTTCTAAGACCCGGCAACCAGAAAAAAAGCGTCTTGCTGATAAGGATTCTTCTGTTTGTTTTTTCAGCTGCTACTGTCGCGTCTCAATGGTTGGAGCTCCTTCATCAAGACATCAAAGGGCGTCTCTCGGGTAATTCCATTTTTATTTTATTTTGCCATATCGTGGGCAGTGCAATTGCTTACATTCAGTATCGTTCTTTTTTCTACTTCTTCAGCTTTGCGTCGCAGTAGAAGGAGAGTTCGAACCGTCATTAATACTGAATTACCTTACCTTATGTCAAAGGAATTCTCAAATATCCAAGAAAATGATTCTTCTGTTATGAAAACCACTACCGAACTCCCGCATAGTATAATTGCAGAAATGCATCGGACAAGATGGACTGCTTTGTTTGATCAGATGGATGAAGCACTCGCTGAAGAAGAAAAGCAACTTGTGAGTACTCAATAGATAAATAACATTTCCTTTTACTGGCCTCATAGTTAATGTTTAAAAATAATTTGTTTTTGGGTTAAGTGATGGTTTAACTTCATGGGAAGAAGTCGTCCAGGGGTTTGAAATGTTGTACGCACCGCTGTTTATCAGCGAAGCCAAGGTTCCAATCTACTCGGCTAACATCTGAATCTGGGCCCTATATATGGGGCTGGTGAAATAACATTTTAGGAGGATAATGGTTTTTTTTTTTAAACTTATAATTTCGCTTTAAGGGTTTTGTGATCCGGTTGCACTGGAAGGCCTTTGTTTGCTTTTCTTAATCGAAGCCTGCACTGTTCCTGGTTCATAATTTCAGGAAAGTTGGTTAAATCAGTAAAAGAAAAGCAACTGCTATGTGATCAGGGCCTCCAACATGTAAATTGGAACGCAACTTATGGTTCGCAACAACCGGGGACTATAGAAAAGGACTCCAGGTATATGTTTTACTTAGCTGGTATTAACTATAAACCAAATTTAGATAGAGTTCTATTTTGTGTTTATTATAATGCTCTTTGATACACTTATGGCATGTTTGTTTGTTTGTTTTTTTTTTTTTTGGGGTTCAAAGACTGAATTACGTGGTAAACCCGTACATTTGTGTGCAAGTCTCATACCTAATCATGCAATGTTTGAAGAATCTTGCGAAAAAAGTGCCTAATAATGTGATCCGCAGTTTTAAAAAGCTTATTTTTGTCGGAGAATTTAATAGTACAGATGTAAAGGTTGCACTTGAAGCTTTTTCACCGTTTACTAACTATTGATGATATTGATGTTATGAACTTACGACTAGAATTCCGCTATTTAAAATATTACAGTATGCCGCTTTCGTCTTTTGGCATATTTTATGGCATCTACATGTGGTAAAACTGAAAACCATAATCTGTTGATGATATTTCCAAGACGCTGTGTTAGGAAAGATCAAAACATACAAATTAAAGCACAATTCAGCTGATAATAGGCATAACAATGGTCACATTTTTTTTGGGGATAATGTGGCAATGTTTTTATAAAATTGGAGAAAACAGGAGGAAAAAAAAAACTGGAATTACAGAGCATTCTTATAAAAACCCCCTTAAAAAAATATGATTTGCTTTCTTGGGCAATCAGATGATAAGGAAACGTACTTTTCATGTCAAAAATCCCTTCCCACTTGAGCTTAACTCGAATGATAAGTGTGCAGTAAAGGTAGAGGTCAAAAGTTTAGATCTCCTAATGCATCAAAACAAACCTTCCCTTGGCTCGGATTCAGTCGTGGCTGAACTTTAACCGACCAGGGATTTTACAAATTTATTAATTTTAATTTTGTGCGAACTACCGCATTTATTAATATTTTTTGTCTAAAACCCTAAAAACCCTTGTTCACATTATCAAAATTGAGGGGATACGTTATATAGAATTGAAGGTCTGAGATGTCTTGGATCAACTTTTGCCTCTAGTTTAGATGAAGAGAAAAAACTTACAAAAATGATAAAATTATAGTTTGGTTGAATGAGCGTGGATTTACTGATAAATCTGGTTCTAGTCTCTATGGACACCTCTAGACGGCTGAACCTTGGGATTCTGTGTTTGAATGCTGGTATTAAAAAAAAAAAAAAAAGCACAATCATATATCCTAGACGTGGATTAGATCTCATAGGCCGGGATAGTAACAACATTCACGTTTCTCAAACACTAAATATCTTGGGGGGTTTTTGTCTAGTGAACTTTGCTTTTTGTTGTGATCTTTGATGCAATTTTTCAGTCTAGTATTCGTTGCAAGTGAAACCTAATCCGCATTTTCTAGCGAGTCTACTATTTTTAGCTTTGGCCTCTTGGCACATCGTAATTATTAACGTTCTTCCCAAATTTTAACAATTTCTTTCTCTGAATGGATTGATTTTCTTGGTTTTTGTTGCAACTTGCTTTCTCTGTGGCTAACAACGACAAGGTCTTAGTTTGCTGCTTTGTGATCATACATTGTGATTTTGTTTTTCAATTACGAAAATTGGATTATTGACTTTGAAACATATGGGAGTGTGAAATTTGCATGTCGGTGCCTTGACTTGGACGGTCGTCTTAAACTGGGTTTGAACAACTAATTCCATGTATTTCTATGCCAGTACTTTTTCTAACTAGTTTCTGAGTGTTTTCTTGTAATAGCCGAAAGCATGTTCTCATCCCCAAAAAAAAGCCAATCAAACGTACTTAAGAATACTATTTCCCACGAATGTCACATTAATATAGGTATTTCATATTTTACAGAGTTAGCTCAGAGAAAGAGTTAGCGGTCAGTGCAGCTGCGGCTTCTATATACTCAACATGCAGTTTCCTATTGTCACAAAGCTAATTGATCCCGATTTGACGTTGAGAATTGTAACCTCCATTTAATTATTGCTGATTTTTTTCTTCTTTCTTCTCCTCAGTGAGAAGCAGCGGCCTTCAGTAAATTGTCATCAACATGTAGAAAAACTCAGCATTCAGTTCTGAGATGAGCAAGCTTTGCGGTTTGTTCAGATTGTAACATTAGCATTTAGCTGTGGGATATTTCCCCCACCCGTTTTCCCCCTCTTTTGTCACATTCATTTGCCTGTGTCAGAGTAATGCTATGTCTAGATAGTGACTGAACTATTTCTCATTGCAGCTACTTCACATTGTAACATTAGCGGTGTAATTTCCCTCCTGTTTTCCATCTCATTTGTCTGAATCTGTTAGATTGATGCTGTGCCTAAATCTTTGGTACCAATAAGTTGTTAATTGAGATTGTAAATGGTCTCATACCATAAGGAAGATAATGCTAAGTCTAAGTCTGGACTGAACTCTTATTGGTTATTTGTCTCATGAATCACGAATATCAGCTTTTTTATTTCAGTTTCTTGAGCATTTTGGATCAAGTGCAAAGCATTTGTTAATCTGGGGTAGCTCATAAGCTGATAAATTCGAATTTCTGATTAGTCGCTGAATTATTGGAACAAGCAGCTTCTATGGCTGATCTTCATGTTAGATGGTACGAACACAGCACTTTCTCCGCAGGTTTGGCGAATTATTTTTGATAGGTTAATCTCATTGCGAATGTTAGGTTGATCTCTAGTTTTACTAAATTTTAATTTGATTCTTTTAATAAATCCTATAAATTTAAGGGAATGATATTTAAGACTCAAAAGTTCAATTTAATTTTAATGAGATATAAAATAATTTTGCTAAAAATGAGTGGTTTATGTCAATTTAAATAACTATAAATATAAGGTTTTGTTTGATACAAAACATTAAAAATAAAAAATAAAGATTATGATTGTAATTTGAAAAAATCATAAATAGTATTTAGTATGAGTAATTGTTTGGTACATTGGATTAGACAAACCTATAGAAGTGGAATTGGGAAATACTACTTTTTCCCATGGTATTTTCTAATCCCATATGTATAGTTTTGACTAATCTCATATAAAAAGCAATTTCAAGTTAAATACTATTTTAATAGGTTTTTTTAATCCCAATCAAAATTTTTACCTCTAATTTTCAATGCTTCGTATCAAATGGAACCTAACCCCTTGCTTGGATTGAGAGAAAATTAGGGAGAAAAGAAAACTAAAGAAGAAAGCATGAGAAGAAATAAGTTTTCTCTTGTTTGGATAGGAGATAAAATATAGGAGAAACAAAAAGTAGGAGAAAAAATAAAGTAGGTCTCATGTCTCATTTTCTTTTCAAATTTTTTCTCCATATATGGAGAGATTTGAGAAAGAAAACAAGATTTCCATTATTGCTCCTCTTCTCTCTTCCTCTCCATATTTATTTTCTTCTATTATATTTAAAAAGTTATTCAATTTTTTATTTTATATCTTAAAACAATATTTTTATTAAATAATTTGGTTTTAAAATATAATAATCTGAAAAAATATATAAACCAAACAACTTGATTTTAAATTATTTTAAATTATTTAATGATGTTAATGTTAGCATAGTTTTTCTATTGTAATATCTAATTTAAGTTAATTTTAAATATGATATATTTTGATGAGAATATTTTAGTTATTTAGATATTTATTAATTTTCTTTCCTTTCTATTTTCTCTCATCTATCCAAGCAAGAGGGATGATAATATCTTCCCTCCAGTTTTTCTTTCTTTTTATTTTCTCTCTTCCTATTTTTTTCCTTCCAACTCTTCTTCTCGTCCAAACAGTGCATAAGAGTTTCAGCTTTAAATCATTGAGTGTAGCATGTTAGACTCAAATGTTATATCTTTCAAGAAATTTTTTTTTATTAAAATTCAATAATTTAACTAATCATATAATATTTTATATTATAAATTTATTTTATTTTAACTAAAAGTAAAAATACACAAATAATGAAGTAAAATTTACAACGTGACACATTATAAACAGAAATAAAATGGTAAGAACTTGTTAAAAATTACTTGGAATTTATTTACTCACGGAAATTGTAATAAAAATGTCAGAATAGATAACAAATATATACATCGACGAGTGCCTTTTTCTACACTTTAATGGGTTTTGATTACATTTAACTTGCAAATAACAACTCATCTGAATATGAATTTCTAATTTGGAATTTAATAATTTTCAAAAAAAAAATTGGTGAGATTTTCTCAAAAATAAAACTATCACCCCACGTTTCGGGGAAAGAATCACTTTTGATAGAAGATTGAAGGAAATTTTCAACAAACACACACATACACACAGATACAATATCATACAAGCAGAATTCGTCGACTTTTACCACTTTATTTATAAGACATAATTAACAATTAAGTAAAACAAATTGCTCTATGCTAGATTTTGACATAATTTAGCTTTCTTCATTATTTACGAGCCGTATATAACGTAATGTAACGCACATTAGACTTCGCACAATGCCCATATCCATAGCCCATATCTAATCCAATTAAAGTCAATACTGAGAGAGACTTGCAATTTCCTCTAACATAATCTGACAACTTTATAGCCGTTGACGTAAAATTAGAACTGTATGAAGATCAATACATAGATACAAATCATACAATCTCTAACGACGCTTCTATGTTAACAAAGTTTGTCAGCACATTTTCTTGCAAGTAATATGAGAGTGAGCAAATTTAAGAGGAAAAACCGTCATGTCCCACCTTGCCGGAGATCTGAAACCTTAGCAAGCGAGCGATACTGCAATTTAACACTCTCTGCATTGTCCAATGTCTTTACCACGTACCTAAACATTTAGACCTCCATCAGCAGCACGATAGATTTAGTAGCGCGCGTACAAGAATCAATATCAGACCCTATTCCCTCATGCGGATTGTCTAAGAACTAATCAAGTAATTATTTTTATTTCCAAGGCTAAGCCCTTAATGTCTTTTTTATGCATCACAGTGAACACATTCAAATTCGCCTACACTGCAGATAGCTTTACAGCAAGAGGATAACTTGTACATTTTCACTTCAAAGGGGCATCTTGTCCCACGTCAGGAAAAGTGAAAAGAATGCCGTAGGATGTTTCACCCGGAAATTTTTAAATTTCCAGTGAAAGATAATAAATATCAATAAATCCTAAAGTTCTACTATATGCACTTGAATTCAATATTATTTGATATTAGATAATTATAGTACCAATAACATCACAACCACGCTTTTTTTTGAGTTCATGGATATTTCAGCACGTTCTTCTATACTAGTGAATCCACATACAGCAATCAAGATTTCATTTAACTGCTAAAGGGAAATATATTAGAAAGTGACTGACCATCCATTCAGGCATTGTGTTGTTACAATAGCTTCCCGTCCAACAAAACGCTGCGGGGTCCTCTTGTTCCCCTGATCCAATTTCACTCCAGTCATTAGCTATATGAGATTTAGTTTAACAAAAGAATAGATTCAAAAGCAAACTCAACTTTCCTCATACTACCTTTATAATAACCCGATCCATCACAGCAAACGGAAATTGAACACCTCTTCCTCTTGGTTGTTCCATAACTGTTGAATCACCATAACCACCCTGTCCTATGTAAAAATGAATTTTATATGAAAAGATAGCGTCAAGGCAGCCTTCGTAATTTTGATTAGCTCAATCTCTTTCATTCTATCAAAATATTGCATGGTTCGGGAGGTTGGGAAGGAATTTACACACCTGATCAAATCTTTCTTTTCTTCTTTTGGATGATCGGTAAAACTGTGACTCCTCTTCCCGATGGTATGCCTGCACAGCAACCCTAAGTGCTGACCACAGCACCCAGCCACCGCAGAAAACCACGTAAGAAAATTATATGAGCATACAATATAAATTGCAGTATCGTTTAAAATTTTCAAGGAACCTCCATCCAAAATTTTCAATGAATTAGTTGTGGTGTTGTATACTGAATTTTCAACATCAGATGTTCCAGTTCGATTTTCAAGAGTTTGACTCCTTCAATCAAATTAAAGATCTATGAACTTTATTATTTGCGAACATATTGCATATGAAAGCAAAATCAATCTTACATAAATAAAATTAACACCCAATAGTACAAGAAACTAGAAGAAAATTAAGTTTCAAAATTATTCTATTATTTGTTTGGAAGAACATAAACATATTTAAGCACCAAGAATTAAATTTCAACATTTTTCCGGGATAAGTTCTGCTTACATAGATTTGGAGATATTGATTCTTCAGATATGGGTTGGGAACAAGTGCAACAAGCTTTCTGAAAATGCATCACAAAAGCACTACATTAGCCAGTTGAAAACACGGCAATTTCTGACTGACAAAAGCAATTTCCAATGAGAAGACTGGGATTTGTAAATTTGACAAATAATGGGCCAGTGTTAAAACTGCCTAGCCAATAGCCACATGTATAGCTAATAAAAAAGCCAACTTTTAGCAGTTCAGGCCATTGTTGCTGCTCACTACATCTAAAACTATAAGGAGGATAAGCAAGAGAGGGAGATCAGATCCAAAATAGTGGCAATTCATCTAGGTTCAATCAGTCTCCTCTTATAAGCAGATGATTGGGTCTCATGAGAGCACACTGCTGTAAATGAAAAGGAGCTATCAGCTAATTGTGCAGTTTTGTCACATTTATTTTGTTCTCATTACAAATGACACTTACGTGCATTTACTTTGGTAACAGCTCGATGTTATTTAGATTCAAGCCCAAAACAACAAAGAAAGAAAGAACCCAAAAAATAAATAAATAAAGAGAAAAAGATAGGGGATAAAGCATAAAGATCCTCAATTGAAAAGAAGAAAACCAGATAAAAGTAGGATAAAGGAAAGAAAGCACACAGGCTCAGGCTTGTTTCTACAGTTCAGCAAAATTATATCACAAACAGTTACTTGTTCAAAATAATAGTCTAGGGCTTTAAAAGTCATGCCATTCAACTGATAGAGGCATATGCACAAGAAAAGAGGTCGAGTATTACCAGCTCCATTGTTAATAATATTTTTCAGTTGACTAGTTACAGAAAAGGTCAATCCAAAAATTATGGCTTTTGATGGCTTAGAACCCACCATTCTAATAACATGCTGTATTCCTCCTCCGCCAAAGGAATGTCCGCAAGGCAATATCATTGCATCATCCATAAGAGCACCCCTGAATTTTTTGAATATAACATCAATTTACTATAACGGGTACAAGAAAGATATAAGCATCTATATCGGCTCAAGATATTAGAAGATTGAACTTGTGTGCTCTTGTACGCACGCAAAGAGAGATAGTTAAGAGCATCGACTGAGCCATCCTCCTTCTGCATCACGATATTTTTTTAACTTCATTGGAAAAGAACGCAATCCACAAGGAACTGGATTTCAATAAACTGGGCAGTGGGCACAGGACTTATGTAGTGATAAACTGATGTTAAAAGCTAACAAGTTCCAAAGGTAACTTACGTTATAGGATCTGAAAGCACTGCCCTCAATGACTCGACTGACTCGCTTGAATAGATAACTTCCTTTCTTCCGCTAAATCCACAACCATTTTCCCCTCCTATAGGTTTGTGCACTGAAGCTGAGCCCTCCGTGCCTTGAAGATAGTGCGAATAATACTCCTCACAATCAGTTTCGGCAATCGTGACCGCACTCTGCGATTTATCTAACCTTTCTTGCTGATGATCTTCGTCGTTACCCCTTGAATTATTCGGCGTCTGCCCAATTTCTCCATCCTTCCCCAATACCTCTCTCCTGGATCCTACAATCCAATCCCCCAGTTAGCGCAACGAAAATAAAAGAACTGGCTATTTTTTGAAGTTAGAGAAATTTAATTTACTTCCTACATACCGTAGGACGAATGGTGTTGAGCTTTTCCGTTCGATATTCCATCTGCAGCACTAGCCAGGTTACCACCACTTATGCTGTTATTGCTAATATCGTTAATTGAATTAGAATTGGAATTCCCTTTGCTTGCATCGTTAACACCAACTAGTCTTTGTACTTCAGCGCCACCCTCAACAACATCGTCGTCGTCCTCTTCCTCATCGTCTTCATCATCCTCGCCGTCCGATTCATCGCCGCTCGGAGTTGCAGTGCTCCCGTTCCCATTCCAATTCCGGGCGTCCGGTGGGTTCCGATGGTCCGCGCAATCCCCGTAAACATTACGACGAAACTCCAATGCCGGAGCCGCGAAAAAACGGTCACGATCCACGGCGAAAATCTTTTCATCAATGAAACCGGCCAGCTCCCTCGTTTTCGAACCTGGGTCCCCAACCCGACGTTGTGGGGCACCGCTACTGTAACGCAAGGGCTCGTCTTGGAAAACTAGGGGTGAATTAAGACCATTATCAATCCTCTGATTTGGAGCAAGACCAATTTCTTCCGATGACATAATAGATAGTACTGCGAAGTTCAATTTGGGAAACAGTGAAGAGAATTTAAGAGCATCAGTTAGGGTTCAGAGAATGGCACTGAGAGAGTGGGACCCTACTTCTTGGGTGGTGCTGGAGAAGGAGCGAGTTGAAGTGACGGAAAGGAAGTCGCTGTTCCAGATACTGGGAGGGGCCACAGTGGGAAGGAGAATTGCACGACCGGTCGGGTAACGCAATTGCCAGATCCAAAACGACATCGTTTGAGTTGTTTGCGATGAGTTGAGAACGACAACTTTCACTCTCCATCTAGCAACGTGAATTTTATGGCTGATGACTCAGAGTGAGTGTTCGGCATCAGAAAAAAATTTGGGAAAAAGACAGAAAAATGCACATCCAACTCCAAAAGCCCAGAAACGTCCGCCCAATTCTACAAATCCCACTTTGTTACCATGAGACCAAATTGGGATTATTATGTGAAAGGAAAAGACCACATTGCCCTTCATTTTAAATATTATTTTTAAAATATCACAGCCCCTACTGGCTGGCCGGTCACCGGACCTCCGGTGACCAGCCGACAATTGGTCACCGGACCTCCGGTGACCAGCCGACAATTGGTCACCGGAGCTCCGGCGGTCGGAATTTTTTTTTTTGAAAATTTTTACAACTTCAATATAACGATTAACAACTTTTGTAATGCTATTCACAACTTCAGTATAACAATTAACAACAGCTTTTCTGGAAAATTCAACAAACTCCGGCGACCGGAAACAATTATTTTGAAAATTTTTACAACTTCAATATAACCGTTAACAACTTTTGTAATGCCATTCACAACTTCAATATAGCAATTAACAACAGCTTTTTTGGGAAATTCAACAAACTCCGGCGACCAGAAATAATTTTTTTGAAAATTTTTACAACTTCAGTATAGCGGTTAACAACTTTTGTAACCCTATTAACAACTTCATTATAGCGGTTAACAACAACAAACTCAAGCGACCGGAAACAATTTTTTTGAAAATTTTTACAACTTCAATATAGCGGTTAACAACTTTTGTAACCCTATTAACAATTTCAGTATAGCGGTTAACAACAGGTTTTTGAGTTTGTTAAAGGCATTACTGAAGTTATAAAAATGTCACTTTTTGAATTTAAAAACTTGTTGTTAACTGCTATATCAAAGTTGTTAACCGTTATATTAGAGTTGTAAAAATTTTCAAAAAAACGTAATTGTGAACGTTATACTGAAGTTGAAAATTTTTACAACTCCAATATAACCGTTAACAACTTTTGTAATGCCATTCACAACTTCAATATAGTAATTAACAACAGCTTTTCTGGGAAATTCAACAAACTCTGGCAACTGGAAACAATTTTTTTGAAAATTTTTACAACTTCAGTATAGCGGTTAACAACTTTTGTAACCCTATTAACAACTTCAGTATAGCGGTTAACAACTTTTGTAACCCTATTAACAACTTCAGTATAGCGGTTAACAACAGGTTTTTGAGTTTGTTAAAGGCATTACTGAAGTTATTAAAATGTCACTTTTTGAATTTAAAAACTTGTTGTTAACTGCTATATCAAAGTTGTTAACGGTTATATTGGAGTTGTAAAAATTTTCAAAAAAACGTAATTGTGAACGTTATACTGAAGTTGAAAATTTTTACAACTTCAATATAACCGTTAACAACTTTTGTAATGCCATTCACAACTTCAATATAGCAATTAACAACAGCTTTTTTGGGAAATTCAACAAACTCCGGCGACCAGAAATAATTTTTTTGAAAATTTTTACAACTTCAGTATAGCGGTTAACAACTTTTGTAACCCTATTAACAACTTCATTATAGCGGTTAACAACAACAAACTCAAGCGACCGGAAACAATTTTTTTTGAAAATTTTTACAACTTCAATATAGCGGTTAACAACTTTTGTAACCCTATTAACAATTTCAGTATAGCGGTTAACAACAGGTTTTTGAGTTTGTTAAAGGCATTACTGAAGTTATAAAAATGTCACTTTTTGAATTTAAAAACTTGTTGTTAACTGCTATATCAAAGTTGTTAACCGTTATATTAGAGTTGTAAAAATTTTCAAAAAAACGTAATTGTGAACGTTATACTGAAGTTGAAAATTTTTACAACTCCAATATAACCGTTAACAACTTTTGTAATGCCATTCACAACTTCAATATAGTAATTAACAACAGCTTTTCTGGGAAATTCAACAAACTCTGGCAACTGGAAACAATTTTTTTGAAAATTTTTACAACTTCAGTATAGCGGTTAACAACTTTTGTAACCCTATTAACAACTTCAGTATAGCGGTTAACAACTTTTGTAACCCTATTAACAACTTCAGTATAGCGGTTAACAACAGGTTTTTGAGTTTGTTAAAGGCATTACTGAAGTTATTAAAATGTCACTTTTTGAATTTAAAAACTTGTTGTTAACTGCTATATCAAAGTTGTTAACGGTTATATTGGAGTTGTAAAAATTTTCAAAAAACGTAATTGTGAACGTTATACTGAAGTTGAAAATTTTTACAACTCCAATATAACCGTTAACAACTTTTGTAATGCCATTCACAACTTCAATATAGCAATTAACAACAGCTTTTCTGGGAAATTCAACAAACTCCGGCGACCGGAAACAATTTTTTTGAAAATTTTTACAACTTCAGTATAGCGGTTAACAACTTTTGTAACCCTATTAACAACTTAAGTATAACGGTTAACAACAGGTTTTTTCAATCGCTATACTGAAGTTATTAACCGCTATACTGAAGTTGTTAATAGGGTTACAAAAGTTGTTAACGGTTATATTGAAGTTGTAAAAATTTTCAAAAAAATTGTTTCTGATCGCCGGAGTTTGTTGAATTTCCCAGAAAAGCTGTTGTTAATTGCTATATTGAAGTTGTGAATGGCATTACAAAAGTTGTTAACGGTTATATTGGAGTTGTAAAAATTTTTAAAATAATTGTTTCCGGTCGCCGGAGTTTGTTGAATTTCCCAGAAAAGCTGTTGTTAATTGCTATACTGAAGTTGTGAATAGCATTACAAAAGTTGTTAACCGTTATATTGAAGTTGTAAAAATTTTCAAAAAAAAAAATTCCGACTGCCGGAGCTCCGGTGACCAATTGTCAGCTGGTCGCCGGAGGTCCGGTGACCGCCGCTGCCGGAGGTCCGGTGACCGGCCGGCCAGTAGGGGCTGTGATATTTTAAAAATAATATTTAAAATGAAGGGCAATGTGGTCTTTTCCTTTCACATAATAATCCCAATTTGGTCTCATGGTACCAAAATGGGATTTGTGGAATTGGGCGGACGTTTCTGGGCTTTTGGAGTTGGAGGTGCATTTTTCTGTCTTTTTCCCAAAAAATTTTGGGATTGAATTTTTTTTAAATAAAAACTAAATACTGTTACAGCACTCTACAGAGTGCAAGAAACATCAAAGCTTAGCTTCCCTCATCACCTTTCATCTCTTACAAAAAAAAAGGAGGATGGTGATTAAAGATACGAAGCAGAGTGTCTAACCGATGCACTAATTTAGCTAAGTACTACTTTTAATTCTTAATATAAAACCTCGTTTGACTTTTATTTTAATTCTAAATATAAGACCCCAATCTACTTTATCTCTCATATTTATATATATTTTTTTAAGAAAGTCCTTCTAATAATAATAGTCCTAACTAATACACTTGATTCGTAAGGATATTTTAGGAAAGACAACACCTATTCATTACAAATAACTAACTTAACTTATTTTTTTAATCTCCTCAAATTAGTCAACTAGCTCTTATAATTAGGACCGAAGATATTAGTTGACAGTAGAGTTTTGATCTCAATACGCATGAGGTAACATAACTTGCTAATCCCTGTGAACCGAAAACCAACCTTCATCAACAATGTCTCTAAAAGAGTGATTTAAATCACATCCCCTGCTTGTCATATTGATAGCTTCCAAGTAGTCAAAGAATATGGTTATTTTGTCTAGACACTTATTTCAGCAAATGTTAAATCCATGAATAATACCAATCAACTCAACAATGCTAGGTGGTATCCTAATAAGTTTGCAGTTGAAACTAGTTAACCAGTTACCGGCCCTATCTATAATGGCACCCCCCACACCCACTTCATGCATCTTGTAGCACCGAACCATCTATTTCAAGCGTTTTTACATCATCTATTGTTCTTCCCACTTGTTCCTCATTTGCCGGCTTAGGGTTGTAGAACGCACAAGAACTCATTAAATCTTGATCTGAGCAAGCTCTAAAGAGGCTAGAGTGGGCATTTGTGTAATCATTGTTATCATGATTGTCAAAAAGATTATTACACCTAGCCACTCATATATCCCAACATATATATCTAAAGAGGGCAGGCCATAGGGGCCTTGCTTGTGTGCAAAAGTCCTATTTCATGAGTTAGGTTCCAATTAATCCGCTTAGTTCCCTGCATAGAAAAGAAAATGTTCCTCATGGAAGGTTTGATGACCGATCTCCATCTGCCCCTAGCGTTTAAGCAATCACATAGAAGGTGCATAGAATCCTCATCTAGAGAGCATTCAAAAAGGCATTGCGCAGTTTTCTCAAAGCCTCTATGCATTCTGAGTTGTGCTGTGTGCACTCTATTTGTCCGGAAATTTAAAATCATGGCAAAAGACTACAGTTAATTATTAAAATAGTAATATTAAGCGTTAATATTTATAATTATAAGTAACACTACTACAATTTTAAAATTTTAAGATAAATTTGTATATAAAAAAAAATTTTAAGTACCAATACTCCCAAGTAAAATCTTCCTAAGTGTTTGACCCTTCATAATTTGGAACAAAACAAACGAAAGGAAGGGAGAAAGTGAGTAGGAGAGGAACTCTGGATGCATGGTGCATAAATAAATGAGTCCTTCAGGTATCATAATTGTTTCGCGCTCAAATTGCTCGTCGAATCCAAACCAACCAGTTACCATTAAAGACGACTTTTGCTAAAAATATATACTAATAACCTGGTTTGCAAATTTCTCAGATAAATGCACTGCTGGCTGTAAAAACAACTTGTTACCCAAAAACTGACTATATCTTCAACATTTTAGATTCCTTCGTTCTCCATGCTTCACAATTTGGCTATTGCAGAGACCTCTGGAGGTTTTCTTTTCA